TTCGGAATTCTATGAACATTTTTTGAAATTCTGAGAAAGATGGTTGAAAAGAAACACGTGGCCCGAATCCTCCTCCGTACTTTTCCCCACATCATGGATACCATTTCTATTTTTTACTTTTTGCTGTTTCCTTCTCATCACTGCCGTCGCCATTTTGTCCCCGGCTAGAGTTTGCACTTTTTTTTTTCATTTCTTCATGTGGTTCTAATGCAAAAAGACAAGACAGGCGCTTGTGAGTGTGTGAATGCTGAGTGTATTTTCTAGAGTGTGTGTTCTGCGAGTGTGTGACTTTAAAGAAGAAGACAGTGGACATCCACCTGCTTTATGGGTGAGTATTTTTGAGCGGGCTCTGCACAGGTTTCTGATTCATCTGAAGAACAGAAAACACACTGGTTTGGAGTTTTTGGGGTATTTTCCAGTGTGTTCCAACAACATCACATTAATGTAAATACCGAGGCCAAAACATCAGATTCAGGAACTCATGTCGGACAGCAGTACAGAACTTTTTTATGTTTTATCAGTGGCCTTTCTTTCTCTACTTTTTTACTTAAATGTGATTCCCATCATCAACACACGGACGTTCAGATCTACTGTTCAACTATCGTAAAACCAATGATTGTAGACTTAGAACCTGGACTTCTACTGAAAAATAAAGCGTGCAATATTAGCCTACACCCGTTTGGTTTGACACTGTAAATACAATTTTATTTTATATAAACACCTTGTCATCACATTAAGACCAAAGACTAATCAGCATCTTGTTTTCAGATATTTACCTCAAGGCTTTCGTGAGAAAAACCATCAAAAAAACTTTTTTCAACTGTTTTTGTTTACGGTTAAACATTAGCGATGATGATTTGACAGCTAACAGTTCATTCATTAATATTAAAGACATTAAAATAACATTTGCACCCGATAACACCAGCTCCTTGCCTCCTCCTTCTTCCCCAAATCTAGGGTTAGCATCTAGAAACTACCATCAATTTGCGCCACTGTACGCTACAAAAAATTACCATATTTACGTAGGCTACGAACTCGGGTTTAGACACATTTTTGTGACAAACAGACAACAGAGTGGTGCAGGAATGAGTCCTAAAACCTAGCAATGAGTCAGCATTTTAGCGCTTCTTGTTCCCTGGGCTGGCAGTCAATGGCTTTCTGAATGTGTTTTTGGTTGTGAGACTGAAATAAGAGATTTTAAGGTAACGGCGGTTGCTAACAAGAGTCTAAACGTCATCAAGCCCAACGTTAGCCACCTTTAGCTTAGCGGTGGATACGCGAATATATATAAAAAATACGTCCTTCCTGCACCACTCTACTTCTCAAAACTGTCGTGAAGTTTTCAAGTCGACTTTAACGTCTGAAATTAAACATTAAAAACCACAATGTCGTTGGCTAATCTGCATGTTTGAAAAGATAAGTGGGCGGACACAAAGGGGGCGGAGCTTAGCTAACTGACACCTTCCATTTAAACACAATCTAACCAATCATCATGCACAAAAACCAAATCAATGACTTTCTGGCTGTTTTTTTTTTTTACAAACTGCTGCTTTTCAAACCCTCTTTTTTTTATGACGACTCATAACTCCTTTCCGTGGCGCTGTTTGAAAACAGGAGGGGGGAGAATATATATCACGACAAAGGGTTAGGGTCTAACATCTGCTTATTGAACACCACCTGAAACTCAGAGTGTTTTATAACCGCTGTCAGAGGGAAAAGAGCAGATTTGTTCGCTTTAAAACACGTCAGCACAAAACCCAGAAAGGTCTTTATCTGCTTCTCCGGTCCGGACACTTTCACCCCTTCCTACTTTATTTTTGATGACGATAAACAGGTGTTTTTGAGACAGGTGACCTATCATGAGACTCCAAATCACTCCGTATCATATCCGTCTGTAATTCCTGTAACTACTGTTGTTTTGATTACATTTGAAATAATAAACAATGTTGTTAAAATCAGAAATCACTCGAGCATCACTTGGCTCTATTCTGCACAAATCCTGCAATACGAGGAGGAACCATTTCATGCATGCGTTTGAACGCTTTATGCATTATTTACCTGCTGTAATTAAGATGCAAATGCATGCCAGAAAAGTACATTTAAATCAGATGAGGACAGATTGTTCCCCACAGCTTCCTGCAGACACTTTGCTTTTTTAACAGCGTCCTTTTAGACTTGAAATCATCTGAAAGAGAGCGAGACAGAGATGAATGTTTTCAGATAGCAGTTATTTAGGAGATAACAACACGACAACAGAGAGGAGCGAAAGAGGCGAGAAAGAGGGAATATTATCGACCGTTTAGAAGCATGAAAAGGTGTGTGTGTGTGTGTGTGTGTGTGTGTGTGTGTGTGTGTGTGTGTGTGTGTGTGTGTGTGTGTGTGTGTGTGTGTGTGTGCGCGTGTGTGTTTGTGTGTGTGTGTGTGATCTGAAACACAGGTCAATAGCTCCCATATCAACTTATTGAATATATTAAATATATATATTGTATATTATATTAATATATTGCTGCTGTAAACCATAGACTGTAAACAGGTATATGAAGGTGTAAACATGTCCATCACCTGAGAGCTGAGGCTCTGCTGCCATCTAGTGTCGACTAAAGGTAACTGCTCTTCATAAAGGAGCTCATAGTCAATTAGTCCATTAATCAATTAGCTGGGAACTGTTTTAAAGGTTTATTCATTATTTTTTTTAAAGCTTAATATTCCCTAGTTCCCAAGTATGCTTTAATTGTTGGCTAATTAAAATAATTTGAATAAAATATAATATATTTTTATAAATTGGTGGTGATTTAAAATAAATAAAACTGTTTAAAAAATACATTTAAAAATGAAAAATAATATATATTTGTATTGTTGGTGATTTAAAATAAATTAATAATTAATAAAACATTTAAAAAATAAATGTTAAAATATATTGCTTTACTGTTGGTTAATACACTAAAATAATAATTATACAAATAAATAAATACAAATTAAATTGCATTTTTTTAAACAAAATTACTAAGAAATTAATGGATAATAAAGAACACGTTAAGCTTTATATATATATATATGTGTCAGTGCAGGTGTTTAAAATCCCCCGTTGAAGAAAGAGTCGTCACTTATTCAACGAACAGGAACCAACAGTTTGGTCAAAAAACATATTTATTTGGACCGAAAAGAAGAACGTTTCACAACACAGTGCATTTGAGCAGATCTACTGGGACACATCAGCTGTTCTCTGACCCCTTTAAAACAATGCAGAGACATCAGTGAGGAACAGCCCTCTGACTCACACCTGAGGCTCCAGGAACAGCCCTCTGACTCACACCTGAGGCTCCAGGAACAGCCCTCTGACTCACACCTGAGGCTCCAGGAACAGCCCTCTGACTCACACCTGAGGCTCCAGGAACAGCCCTCTGACTCACACCTGAGGCTCCAGGAACAGCCCTCTGACTCACACCTGAGGCTCCAGGAACAGCCCTCTGACTCACACCTGAGGCTCCAGCATCTGCTCTCTCTTTAAATACATTCATGCTGTGTGTGTGTGTGTGTGTGTGTGTGTGTACAGCATTCCTACGATAACAAGCGGTTCAGTCATTTGATTTTAAAGAGTTCCTATCATGCTTTAATGTCCAAAAAGCTCTTTATTTTTGCCTGTTTTCACCCTCTGTCTGAAACCAGAGCCCTTTACATGCAGAATAATGCCTCTTTAGATCCTGGATTTCAGGAGCTTATTGCATTTAAAAGATATGTCAGTGAGAAAGGGTTCAGATTTAATGGTGAGAGACATTTCAAAAAGTCATTTCAAACCAGTACCTGATTCACACCACGTTAACTAAAGCTGCACTAGAACACAAATACAGAGTTCAATTGACAGTTAAATTGGTTTTTAGGCCGGTTTGAAGCAGAGCGATGAGTTCAGGGCGTGACTCAGTTAGTCTGGATTAAAGTCAAACGAATCACCAGATGTTCCTGAAACTAGTGGTGTGTGTGTGTGTGTGTGTGTGTGTGTGTGTGTGTGTGTGTGTGTGTGTGTGTGTGTGTGTGTGTGTGTGTGTGTGTGTGTGTGTAGCACTAACATGAGGTGATGAGAGACTGGAGTGTGTCCACAGCAGCTGACTCTACATAACAAAGAGTAGGAGTCTCAGTGTCTGCATAGTCTGTTACAACACCCGTTTTATTACCATTTTATCCCCAAAAAAAACCTAAAACCCGATGAGTTTTCTGTAAAATAAAAGTTGTTTAGATGAGGCTGCTTCCAACTTCTATCTTCAAATCAGTTTGTAGATGAATTCATGGATCATTTGGTCGATGAAATGTCATTTAAATGCAAAAAATAAGGGTAAAATCACCATTAATCTGTATTTACGCCACAATGGACCTCTGGAAATTTCTCATCTTGTCAAATTAGGACCAAAAACCCAAACATATTTAGTTTTTAACACAAAATCCTGCAAAAATAGATACATTTAGAAGCTTCAACAAGTCATTTTTGACACTTTTAACATTAAAAAGTCTAATCACCTCCCTCTGCTCCCACACAGCTATGAACATGCTACAGATGCATTTAAGTAATAATCAATAATCAATAACCGGCGTTCTAAGCACGAGAAAAGCATTTACAGTTTGGTCACAACAAACAGGAATCAGTTACAGAACATATCACATTATTGACCTTAGTAACAGTCGAGTAGTGCAGTGTGAAGGATGCAGTCTGAAGGATGCACTTTGAAGGATGCACTCTGAAGGATGCACTTTGAAGGATGCACGTTGAAGGATGGAGTCTGTAACGTTTAAATAACACCCTCTTTAGGAGAGCATGAAACAAAAGGCCTCGTCGTCACAGCGAAGAACAATAAACGAATAAACAGTCAAATGTCAGATTTAAAAAAATAAATTAAAACCGTCCCACTGTTTTTACTCTCAGTGAAATCTCTGTTTCTCCTCCAATCAGAAGCAGCTTCAGAGCGTCAGAGCGATCCGATTGGTCCGCCATCGGAGACGTTAATCTGGAATCAAACAAAGGGGTTATTAAATACAGATCTATTTGAGAGGACATATTATGAAAAATTTAGTGTCTCCTCTGGGACATGTCTCCACTGGGACATGTCTCCACTGGGACACGTCTCCTCTGGGACATGTCTCCTCTGGGACACGTCTCCTCTGGGACACGTCTCCACTGGGACACGTCTCCACTGGGACACGTCTCCTCAAACTGAAATAAAGAGCTGGACATGAACGCGTGGAGACATGTCCCAGAGGAGACATGTCTCCTCTGGGACATGTCTCCACTGGGACATGTCTCCACGCGTTCATGTCCAGCTCTTTATTTCAGTTTGAGTTCCTATAATGGCTTTGAGTGAGAAACATCGATTACACTTTCTCCAAATCCAAGATATGTCTCTAAGTGTCTTGTTTTGTCAACTTTACACCCCAAAAATATCGTCTTTAAATTTGATAGAAATGAGAGAAAAGCTCCACATTTTAGAGACAAAAAAAACGCATTTTCTGACATTTTTGCAATTAATCATTTATCAAAATAGTAGATTATAATTATGTGGATCCTCTAATTGTTGCAGGGCATTAGGAAGGTTTTTACACAGGGATTTGAGCCTCTGCAGACCATTGACATGCACTAAAACCTACACTAAAACCAATGGAAGAAGACATAGAAAGGTTAAAGTGCTCACTGGCCCGCGGCTCCACCTCCATGGTTTTGGACAGACTCAGCGATGAGCTCTGTTTGGGTCTCGCTCCCAGCTCTCTTCCCTCTCTGTTCTGGTTCTGGTTCTCCTCCTTCTTCTTCTCCTCTTTCACCTCCTCCTCCTCTTCCTCCTTCACATGGTAGAACCCCCCCTCCTCCGCAACCATCTTCTCCACCCTCTCCAGCAGCCTTCCCACCTGAGGGTGCTCTCCGAACTCACAGTTATTGATCACAAAGTACCTCCTGTGGCACTTCTCCAGGACCCACTGCAGGTCCTTCCCCTCCCTCCGGATGTACCTCTCGATGGAGATGTTCCTCAGGACCTCGGCCCAGGTGAACACCACGATGGTGTGCCTCCACACGCGCTCTCCGAACAGACTCACGTGCTCCTCGATGCGCTGGCGGTCCACTTCGGTGAACATGCCGACGGGGATGGCGAGCAGGAAGGCGTGAGGGCCGGGGGGGCAGAGAGACGCTCCTCTCACCAGCTCCTGCTTGTAGGAAGGAGGCGTGTCCTGAGCAGAGAACCATCCGGGAGTATCCACCACCGTCACCTGCCGCTCCAACACCTGCAGAGTCATGGGGTCACTTCACATTCTCACTGGGAGCATCCGTACTTCAGTAACAGTAGAAATACTCAGGTCTTGTACTTGAGTAAAAGTAGAAGTATCTTGTAGTAAAAGTAGCTCCAACATTGCGTTATTTGAATTTGGGTTAACTTTCAATTCACTTTTTTGTACAGTTTGAGTGGGGGGTAACATTACATTCAAGATTCCATGACACCAAGAAATTAATTGGCAACAACATTTAACTTAAATTAGATAGTACCAATTAATACTTCCTCCAACACCTGGTAGATTGTACTGTGTAAAAGTAGAAGTGCTCAGACCTGAGTACTTCCCCTTGTACTCAGACCTGAGTAAAAGTAGGAGTACTCAGACCTGACAGCAGATATCAGTACCTCCGTCTCTCTCTTCACGCAGAACTCGGCGGCTCGCTCCAGGTGAAACTCCTCCTTCCCCAGGATGGTGTTTCCTGTCAGGCTTTTCCCCGGCCACCTCCACCCGAGGACCACCAGACGGAGCTCAGGCAGACGAGCCGGCGTCACCACTGCCTGTCGGGACTTCTCCTCTGATCCAGGAGCATCTGTGGAAACATCAGATCAGATAAGACTTTATTTATCCTGAAGGAAATGGTTGGGTTACAGAAATACGATAAACACAGCAGCGTGATGAGCAAACTGTGCACGAGCAGAGACAAGAGCAGAGACACGAGCAGAGACAAGAGCAGAGAGCAGAGACAAGAGCAGAGACAAGAGCAGAGACTAGAGCAGAGACACGAGCAGAGACACGAGCAGAGACAAGAGCAGAGACAAGAGCAGAGACAAGAGCAGAGACAAGAGCATTTACATATCTACAGGAGACACAGAAATATCATTATCATTATAATTAGGACATTTTACTGCAGTCAGAGGTGGAAGAAGTACTCAGACCTTGTACTTGAGTAAAAGTAGAAGTACTCAGATCTTGTACTTGAGTAAAAGTAGAAGTACTCAGATCTTGTACTTGAGTAAAAGTAGAAGTACTCAGATCGTGTACTTGAGTAAAAGTAGAAGTACCCAGATCTTGTACTTGAGTAAAAGTAGAAGTACTCAGATCTTGTTCTTGAGTAAAAGTAGAAGTACTCAGATCTTATACTTGAGTAAAAGTAGAAGTACTCAGATCGTGTACTTGAGTGAAAGTAGAAGTACTCAGATGTTGTACTTGAGTAAAAGTAGAAGTACTCAGATCTTATACTTGAGTAAAAGTAGAAGTACTCAGATCGTGTACTTGAGTGAAAGTAGAAGTACTCAGATATTGTTCTTGAGTAAAAGTAGAAGTACCCAGATCTTGTACTTGAGTAAAAGTAGAAGTACTCAGATCTTGTTCTTGAGTAAAAGTAGAAGTACTCAGATCTTATACTTGAGTAAAAGTAGAAGTACTCAGATCGTGTACTTGAGTGAAAGTAGAAGTACTCAGATGTTGTACTTGAGTAAAAGTAGAAGTACTCAGATCTTATACTTGAGTAAAAGTAGAAGTACTCAGATCGTGTACTTGAGTGTAAAGTAGAAGTACTCAGATATTGTTCTTGAGTAAAAGTAGAAGTACTCAGATTTTGTACTTGAGCAAAAGTAGAAGTACTCAGATCTTGTACTTAGTAAAAGTAGATGTACTCAGATCTTGTACTTGAGTAAAAGTAGAAGTACTCAGGTCTTGTACTTGAGTAAAAGTAGAAGTACTCAGATCTTATACTTGAGTAAAAGTAGAAGTACTCAGATCGTGTACTTGAGTAAAAGTAGAAGTACTCAGATCTTGTACTTGAGTAAAAGTAGAAGTACTCAGATCTAGTACTTGAGTAAAAGTAGAAGTACTCAGATCTAGTACTTGAGTAAAAGTAGAAGTACTCAGATTTTGTACTTGAGCAAAAGTAGAAGTACTCAGATCTTGTACTTAGTAAAAGTAGATGTACTCAGATCTTGTACTTGAGTAAAAGTAGAAGTACTCAGATCTTGTACTTGAGTAAAAGTAGAAGTACTCAGATCGTGTACTTGAGTGAAAGTAGAAGTACTCAGATGTTGTACTTGAGTAAAAGTAGAAGTACTCAGATCTTGTACTTGAGTAAAAGTAGAAGTACTCAGATCTTGTACTTGAGTAAAAGTAGAAGTACTCAGATATTGTTCTTGAGTAAAAGTAGAAGTACTCAGATTTTGTACTTGAAGTAGAAGTACTCAGGTCTTGTACTTGAGTAAAAGTAGAAGTACCAGAGTGTAGGAATACGCTGTTTCAGTAAAAGTCCTGCATTCAAAATGTTCCTCAAGTGAAAGTATAAAAGTATTCTCATCAAAATATAGTGAAAGTAGCGACAGTAAAAGTAGTCATTGTGCAGATTGGTCCATTTCAGAATAATATATATGATATGTTTTATAATGATTGATCATGAAAGTGTTCTCAAAGCTGGTAAAGGTGCAGCTAGTTTGAATGACTTTGTATACTGCAGGGTAGCTTGTGGATTTACTCCAGGTGGAACTCAAGTCTGATTTAACACTTGGTTATATTTCACATCATTCATCCAGATCTGTGAAGTAACTAAAGGTATTAAATACATGTAGTGGAGGAAAAGTACACAGTTTACCTCTGAACTGTAGTGGAGTAGAAATACACAATTAGCATACAATGGAAACACTTAAGTAAAGTATAAGTACATCTAAATTATACTTAAGTACTTGAGTATATGTACTTAGTTACTGTATTAAACTGTTATAAAATAGTTATCACTTCATGTAGATGTTGTGTCTTTGTTTATTGTTTTAAGTGTAAACAGTTGAACTTAATGCTAACTTTAACAGCTAGGGAAACTCCCTTTATTATATGACACGTACTTAATAAATTAAAGTTATATTAATGAGTTTTAAAGTCTCACCTTCTGTCTGAGGTTTCCTACTCGCTTCCATGCTCTGTTTCTATCAGAAAAAGAGGTTTAATTAATGTTTAATTTGGTTTAAATCCGGAGAAAAGAGACTTCCTCCTTTAAAGCTAACAGGATGATAAAGCTAACCGGAACGTAAACACGTAGCTTCCGCTTATGTCTTTCAAAATAAAAGCATTGTAACGCTAACCGTGATGTTAACACGCGGCTTCTGGTTAGGTCTTTCAAAATAAAAGTTTAAAAATGAAAATATAGATTATAAAGTGGATTTAAATGTCTAAAATATATGCAGAGGTGTAATGTAGAGTACTGTACTAAAATGTAGGTACTTTACTTGAGTATGTTCACATTATATTATCAAAGAAAACACTATTAGATAAAGGGCATGCACAAAATATTAAGAATTAAATTAGATTAAATGCAGATTTTAGTTAATACAAATTATAAATCAAGATATATTATCATATTTTATTATAGGCTAAGATACCCAAATAATCCCACATTTACCAAGTACAACATAGAAGTGAAGAACACAATGCACCAATAATTTGATTAAAATGACAAAATATCTGGTGTTTAAATCAAATTAAAGTGTATTTATATAACCCAATATCACAAAACAACTCAGTGGGCTTTACAGAAACAAACAACATTGTAAACAACAACATTAAACATTTTTCATTACATCTTTCAAACCTTTAATTAACCAGGTGAATCCCATTGAGATCATCGATCTCTTTTTCAAGGGAGACCTGCTGCAAGTAGGTTCCACATGAAACATAAAACAATACAGGACATCATATTTACAGGGCTACATTTACAGACCTATCGACATTTACAAGTACCAACAGTATCAAGTATCATAGCATCTATCCGAGCTTTAAAAACATGCAGTGGAACCAAATTGCTCAGTTTCCATTCTTTTTGCAGACTGTTCCAAGTCAGAGGAGCTGCGCACATAAAAGCTTTCGTCCCTAAGTCAGTCCTTGGCACATGTAACAAGACCACATCATGTGATCTCAGGCAGTAGCGACCTGCAACTCTGTGAGATCAGAGAGCAGATGTAAGTTGGGAGTTTACCCAGCATGGCTTTGTAGATGAACGTGTACCAGTGACTGAGCCTCCCTACAGTGAGTGAAGGCAGACCTGCTCTGTACAGGGTTCAGTGATGAGAGAGTGCTTTACAGTTAGTCACACATCTCAGTGCACTGTGACACGCGGCATCTAACTTGATCAGGTAATGGGCAGGTGCATTCATATAGACCAGATCACCATAGTCCAGCACAGGTCAAAAGGTCACAGAGACTAGCCTTTCTTAAAATGAATTAAGTTACAAGAAAAGACAATAAAACATAAAATAAACTCCCATAAGAAGTAGGAACAAGGTCTTGGAAATAGTTTAAATCACAAATGGAAAGTAGATTTTTCACGGTTACATACAGTAGTGCATTAAAATGTGTACATAAGTAAACAAGTATTAGCATCAACATATACTTTAAAGTACCAAAGGTTAGAGCTGGTTTCTGATTATTCCCCATGTACCCTGTAAAGAAAGTAAATCAGAGAAGACTTTAAGAGATTAGTTTATTGATCCAAGCAGTTTATTTACAACATTAATGCAAAAATCAGACTTTATTTACAGTTAAAAACAACAGTCGTTTCCTCATACCTTCATTTTTAATTAAGTACTTCTTGTACGTGCTGTAAAACAACAACAACAACAACAGCTAGGAGGATAAACACATCTAAACTACCCTCTGTTAATCCTTCACTTATCCTCGATAGATATCACCTGTAAAGTGGCTTCAATATAACACTCTTCATTTCCCCTTAATAATTAAAAGCTAAAAGAGAGAGAGGTAACGTGATTAAGTCGCCCACGATGCCAGCGTCCGCATGTCGTCCTCGTCCTCAACTCTCTTCTTAGTGGCTGCAAAGAGGAGGAAAAGTAATCAGGTTATTATGGGATAGTTATCAGGGTCAATCAGCTGTTCTTCTTGATCTTATTCTGCATCAACTCGGTCACTGACAACATTTAGCCGACCGTATGTCATCATTTCTGACGTGGATATAGTTTACTTATAGTTTACTTCTCCTGCACTACTTCATAATAATTCCTTATATTTATTATAGCGCTTTTTCCATGACCCAAAGCGCTTTACAGATACACATTACAAATATCAGACATACATGTAATGGTCATGTACTGTTGACAATACCCACAGGAGCACATTCAGGTGAAGTGTCCCGAGGACACAACGGCTTTACAGACCCCTTGATCTGATGAGCAATGCACAGCCCACTGCGCCACACCGCCCATCTTCACACCTCAAAGTCATCGAGGCGCTTTACAAGTACACACTAGACCTGGTGCTAGACTCCTGGTGCTAGACTCCTGGTGCTAGACTCCTGGCGCTAGACTCCTGGCGCTAGACTCCTGGCGCTAGACTCCTGGCGCTAGACTCCCGGCACTAGACTCCCGGCACTAGACTCCCGGCACTAGACTCCCGGCACTAGACTCCCGGCACTAGACTCCCGGCACTAGACTCCCGGCACTAGACTCCCGGTACTCGACTCCTACTACTCGACTCCTACTACTCGACTCCTGGTGCTAGATTACTGGTACTAGACTCCTGGTGCTAGACTCCTGGTGCTAGACTCCTGGTGCTAGACTCCTACTGCTAGACTCCTGGTGCTAGACTCCTACTGCTAGACTCCTGGTGCTAGACTCCTGGTGCTAGACTCCTGGTGCTAGACTCCTGGTGCTAGACTCCTACTACTAGACGCCTGGTGCTAGACTCCTGGTGCTAGACTCCTGGTGCTAGACTCCTGGTACTAGACTCCTGGTACTAGACTCCTGGTACTAGACGCCTGGTACTAGACTCCTGGTACTAGACTCCTGGTGCTAGACGCCTGGTGCTAGACGCCTGGTGCTAGACGCCTGGTGCTAGACTCCTGGCACTAGACTCCTACTGCTAGACGCCTGGCGCTAGACGCCTGGCGCTAGACGCCTGGCGCTAGACGCCTGGCACTAGACTCCTGGTACTAGACTCCTACTACTAGACGCCTGGTGCTAGACGCCTGGTGCTAGACTCCTGGTACTAGACTCCTACTGCTAGACTCCTGGTGCTAGACTCCTACTACTAGACTCCTGGTGCTAGACTCCTGGTTCTAGACTTCTGGTGCTAGCACCAGAAGTCTAGAACCAGGAGTCTAGTACCAGGAGTCTAGACTCCTGGCGCTAGACTCCTGGCGCTAGACTCCTGGCGCTAGACTCCTGGCACTAGACTCCTGGCACTAGACTCCTGGTACTAGACTCCTGGTACTAGACTCCTGGTGCTAGACTCCTGGTGCTAGACTCCTGGTGCTAGACTCCTGGTGCTAGACTCCTGGTGCTAGACTCCTGGTACTAGACTCCTGGTACTAGACTCCTGGTGCTAGACTCCTGGTGCTAGACTCCTGGTGCTAGACTCCTGGTGCTAGACTCCTGGTGCTAGACTCCTGGTACTAGACTCCTGATGCTAGACTCCTGGTACTAGACTCCTGGTACTAGACTCCTGATGCTAGACTCCTGGTACTAGACTCCTGATGCTAGACTCCTGGTACTAGACTCCTGATGCTAGACTCCTGGTACTAGACTCCTGGTACTAGACTCCTGATGCTAGACTCCTGGTGCTAGACTCCTGGTACTAGACTCCTGATGCTAGACTCCTGGTGCTAGACTCCTGATGCTAGACTCCTGGTGCTAGACTCCTGGCACTAGACTCCTGGCACTAGACTCCTGGTACTAGACTCCTGGTACTAGACTCCTAGTACTAGACCCTTAGCTGTGTCTGTAAATGCTTTGGCTAACTGTTGTATGACTGTGTTGTGATTGTGTGTTTTAAAATGGTCTGTAACTGTGCCGTTACCATTCAGACCCATCCTGGTTAAATAAAGGTACAAATAAAATATTTGCTCTTACTCGCTCTGTGACTGCTGGGTCTCGCTGAGGGCAGTTTGCTGCTCGGCACGCTGGGTAATCCTCCCATCCTCTTCATGTTCTCCTCCAGCTCCTCCTGCTCCAGCTCCTCCAGCTCAGCCAGCAGCTCGTCCTGAAACCAGGGAAGTAATCAGATTACTGTCTCTAAACATTGGGGCACGCAATGACTCTAAATAATAATGATCACGCCACCAAACACACATTCAAACTAAAGGAACCAGCCTGTTTGGGAAATGAGAGAAGTAGAAAGTACAGGTATTTGGGTTCAACATGTAAGAAGTAGAAAGTACAGGTATTTGGGTTCAACATGTAAGAAGTAGAAAGTACAGGTATTTGTGTTCAACATGTAAGAAGTAGAAAGTACAGGTATTTGGGTTCAACATGTAAGAAGTAGAAAGTACAGGTGTTTGTGTTCAACATGTAAGAAGTAGAAAGTACAGGTATTTGTGTTCAACATGTAAGAAGTAGAAAGTACAGGTATTTGTGTTCAACATGTAAGAAGTAGAAAGTACAGGTGTTTGTGTTCAACATGTAAGAAGTAGAAAGTACAGGTATTTGTGTTCAACATGTAAGAAGTAGAAAGTACAGGTATTTGTGTTCAACATGTAAGAAGTAGAAAGTACAGGTATTTGTGTTCAACATGTAAGAAGTAGAAAGTACAGGTATTTGTGTTCAACATGTAAGAAGTAGAAAGTACAGGTATTTGGGTTCAACATGTAAGAAGTAGAAAGAGTACAGGTATTTGTGTTCAACATGTAAGAAGTAGAAAGTACAGGTATTTGTGTTCAACATGTAAGAAGTAGAAAGTACAGGTATTCGTGTTCAAAATGTAAGAAGTAGAAAGTACAGGTATTTGTGTTCAAAGTGTAAGAAGTAGAAAGTACAGGTATTTGGGTTCAACATGTAAGAAGTAGAAAGTACAGGTATTTGTGTTCAACATTTAAGAAGTCAAAGTAAAAAGTTGTCAGAAAAATAAGCAGTGGAGTAAAGTACTGATACCAGAAACATGTACTTAAGTACAGTAACGAAGTATTTGTACTCCACTACTTCCCACCTCTGATTCTGTGTAAGCTGTTCTGTTTTGTAGGCTAGAGTGAAATATCCGTACCTCGTCAAACGTCTCTCCAAAAGGTCCGGAGATGGCGTCGCTGATTTCTCGAGCGACGTCCTGCTGCTCCGTGATGTCCTGCATCAGATCGTCTATCTTATCAATGTCCCTGAGAAACAGACGGTGAGAGGAAAGGAGAATCAGAAAACCTTTATTCGTCCCACAGAGGGGAAATGTACATTTGTCAAAGCAGGAAAGAGCCAACGACAGCTTCATGTCAACTAAGAAGCATGCATTCAAAAGTATTAAAGATAAAGAAATTACACAATTTACAAAATACACATCCTGTAACCGTTCTGAAGATTTAGCAGCCAGGTGTATTACACCGTTTTTAACGGCATTTATATATATATATTGCACATCATTTGTATTTCACAGCAAGGGGTGTTATAGCATAGTCTCTGTGTGAGTGTGAGTGTGTGTGTGTGTGTGTGTGTGTGTGTGAGAGAGAGTGTGAGTGTGTGGTGTGTGTGTGTGTGTGTGTGTGTGTGTGTGAGTGTGAGTGTGAGTATGAGTGTGAGTGTGTGTGTGTGTGTGTGTGTGTGTGTGTGTGAGAGAGAGTGTGTGAGTGTGGTGTGTGTGTGTGTGTGTGAGAGAGAGTGTGAGTGTGAGAGTGTGTGTGTGTGTGTGTGTGTGTGAGTGTGTGTGTGTGTGTGAGAGAGAGTGTGAGTGTGTGTGTGTGTGTGTGTGTGAGAGAGAGTGTGAGTGTGTGTGTGTGTGTGTGTGTGAGTGAGTGTGTGTGAGAGAGAGTGTGAGTGTGAGTGTGTGTGTGTGTGTGTGTGTGAGTGAGTGTGTCAAAAGTATTAAAGATAAAGAAATTACACAATTTACAAAATACACATCCTGTAACCGTTCTGAACATTTAGCAGCCAGGTATATATATATATATATATATATATATATATATATATATATATATATATATATATATATATTGCACATCATTTGTATTTCACAGCAAGGGGTGTTATAGCATAGTCTCTGTGTGAGAGTGTGTGTGTGTGTGAGTGTGAGTGTGAGTGTGAGTGTGAGTGTGTGTGTGTGTGTGTGTGTGTGTGAGTGTGAGTGTGAGTGTGAGTGTGAGTGTGAGTGTGAGTGTGTGTTTGGGGGGGGGGTCTTTAGGAGTTTAGATTACACACAGCTGATCAAAACAACACACAGATTAGATTTCCTTTCTGTCTAGTTCTTGGCGTCTCTCTGCTCAGCTCTCTCACATGTTCTCGTGGACCTGCTTCATGGCCTTGGCAGCGAAGCCCATGTTCTTCAGGACCTCCGTGTTGGTGTGAGAGTTCTCCAGAGCCTCTCTCTGAAACTCGATGGTGGACAAAGTGCCGTCGATCTGCGTCAGCTGCTGCTCCAGACGCTTCTTCCTCTTCAGCGCCTGCAGGGCGGCTGGGACACAAACAACACGGAGAATCATGTTTTTATTTCCCACACAGCGCCTAAATAAATACCTGGCAGTGCTGCGCGTCACAAAGACAACACCAGGTTCCTCCCTTTGGTATTTATAGTCTGAGGTGATTCAACAGGCAGCTAAAGGTTTCACAAGAAAACATTAGATCAGATTCATCTTTGCTGTCATTGCATCCAACCAGAAAGTGCAAAGAGTAGTAAAGAGCATGAGGTTCCAGGTAACTCACATGAATACATACACAGGATAAGATGCAGGGTTTAGGCATATAGATGTTAAGTACACTTGTAATGAAAACACACAGTTTCCTGCACAGGGAAACTCGACTATAACTCAGTTTGTTTTGATTTAATCTCTTTCTCTCTCGTTACAGACCTGTTCAACTCGCTGCTGCTAACGAAACTGTTATCTTAAACAAATAAAGAAAACCACTGTAGGCCAAATATATAATACCTGGATACAGAGGTGTAAAGTGATCAAGTACTTTTACTCAAGTACAAGATCTGCGTACTTCTACTTTTACTCAAGTACAATATCTGAGTACTTCTACTTTTACTCAAGTACTTCCACCACCTCTGCCTGGCTATACAAACTGAATCTGATATATTTAAACAACCTCTTTAATACTTGTTTACCTGTGTTGCTTATCTTAAAACGTGTCCAAAATACTCCATATTGAGCCCATGGAAGCCAAAAGTAAACACCTGCAGATACATAAATATGTATATAAATATATATGTGTGTGTATTTGTACCTCTCTTGTTTTTGGTGCCGTTCTTCTTGGCTATCGTCAGCTCCTGCTCGATCCTCTTCTCCAGGTAGTCCTGTTTCTTGGTCAGCATTTCCTCGGTCTCCCGCAGTTTGTGGATGGCCTCCTGCGGGGAAGGGCCTCCTCTGGACCGGCTGTGTTTGGACTTCGAGGAGCTGGAAGATCCGGAGCTGGAGCTCCCTTTGAATAACTTCGCGATTTTACTCATTTTAGCAGCTTTTGAGGTTAAATAACAGCTTCGTGAATCGTGTCTCCCAGCCTCGCTGCCCTACTTTAAAGTGTTTTTTCTTTTCTTTCAGACGGGTCGGTTGGGGCGGATTTTCCGGCTGGACTGCATTCAATTCAAACCAGCCAGTGAACGCACCTTTCAACACACCTTTCACCATTACCTGAATGACGTAATGACACCTGACACCCTCCCCAGGTCGGTTAGAATTAAAAAAAGATTTAAAAGTTTTTATTTATTGTCAGAAAATGATTATAAAAAACTCCTTATTAAATATAAAGGGGTACATTATTACTCTTACACTATTCAAAATAAGGTAAATAAATATAAATCTGTCGTAGTGGGTGAAACTCGGTCACGTGGTTTCAACACACTTTTCACACCTGAGTGACGTCATGACACCTGACAGAGCGGGTACAATAAAAAAAAGTTTCTAACGTTTTATTTTAGGTAAGAAAATAATACTAATTTGTTTTTATTATTAAATATAAAGGAGTACGTTAATACTCTTACACTATTACAACAAAGTAAATACAAATAAATCAGTTGTAGTCACATCCATGGTCGTAGTGGGTGAAACTCGGTCACGTGGTTTCACTGCTGGGGTCAAAGTTCGTGTTGACATCAGAGGAAGTATTTAGACCGTTAAAACATGTCTTCAGCTCAACCGACAATATAGAGAAGATTTAATGTTGTTTTCTTTCTCATGTATTTAGTTATTTGTATTGTTTTTTTCCTGCCAATCTCCTGCTCCACTCTCGTCCAGCAGGTGGCGGTGTTGCGCCTAGATGGTGTTGCGCCTATCGCCTACTGCCATTAAACCACCGAAGAAGAGAGAAGCGTTGTTTACTTCATCAGCTGTTTTACACTCGCCTTGTAATCATGGCTGAACTGAACATCGGGAAGCATTGCCGGATCGATTCCTGCCACCAAAACGGTGTGTATCCTCTCCTTTCACTCACAATAAGATCATTTATTAACCTGTGTTGTTATTCTGGAGTTGTGTTGAGAAGAAACACAATCTAACGGCTCTTTAGCTTCGTTAGCATGTGAGCTAACTAACCGGCGTTAGCGTTAAATGTTTGGTAAACTAACTGCTAACCAAACTGTTATAATTAGCATCAAACAACAGCGTAAAGTTGTTCAAACTAATACAATACTTCCGAGAAAGTGTTTTGAATCAGTCATTAGTAGTTGTGGTACTTTCTGAGGCTATAACATTAGTTTGAGAATATTATTTAGAAGTAAACAATCCCTCTTTCTAATGTTTACTAGCCTCCTTATGCTAACTCAACTGGGAAATATATACAATATAGATTCAACTAAAGTATGGTTTAATGTTAACCCATAATAACTACTTTTGGGGAAATTAAGGGGAACATAATTTAGACTAAATAGACCACCTAAAACATATTTCTGACCCCCCCTAGTGTCAAATATCTGAAATTTGACATTTACGTCACATTGGACTATAATGGTAAAATAACTCTTATTTATAATTCATTAACGAGGATGATTTTTTGGTTTAAATTAGTTTGGATTCTTGAAGAATAAGAACATATCAACTCAATATAATTAAATCAGCTAAATTACCTGAAAAAAAAGCTTTTGAAATGTAGCTAGTTCGGTCACATGTGTTAGTCTTGCACATGGACATCTTGGACATGTTGTCATGGGAACACAAAATCACATGACCTGGATTTGTTTGGTAAACTAGCTCATAACTAGCAAGCTAACTGCTAACCAAACTGTTATAATTGGCATCAAACGCCAACGGTAGAGTTGTTATTACTTATACAATATGGTTGGCAAAGTGTGTTTAATTAGTCATTAGTAGTTGTGGTACTTTCTGAGGCTGTAACATTAGTTTACGGATATTATTTAGGAGTAGAGAATCCCTCTTTGTAATGTTTACTAGCCTCCTTAGGCTAACTCAACTGGGAAACTATATACAATAGATTACATGAAAGTATGTTTTTAGGGTTATTTCTTGTATATCCACCATCATTTAATGTCAAAGCTATGCTCATGTGCTGTCGATTGTTGCTGCAAAAAGTATTTTGAGTATTGTATTCCTCAAAGTATGTATCTCTCTCAAGGAACAGGTGCAAACAAAAGACAGGGAAAAACAGACTAGATGTAAAAATACAGATTACATACAAACAGTGGCTTTCCATGTGTTCTTTAATTAGTCTTAACAGTTTAGGTAGTGCCCTGTCCACAGTATTGATGTATCACAAGTATGTAATGTAAAGAACTTTGAGCACTGGGAAAAGAGCTCAAATAAATACCATGACTTATTATTATTATTAGTAAAGTAAAGAAACTCATTTCATTAAGGGGCTCACGTTCTTTAATGTAGATTTGTGTATGTAAATGATTTAACATAAAATAAGGATGTTATTAACTAAAAGTGGTATTCAGGGTTGTCTTTGGTGAGTCCATACATTAAACTAATAAGTGTTTCTCAGAAGTTAACGCCATATGTTTGAGGCTTCAGTGTTTTTAAGTTCTTCCTCTCAGACTGACGCTTGTTCTCTTCTCATCCAGATTTCCTCCCGTTTGTCTGTGATCTGTGCCGCGGAAGTTTCTGGTAAGAATTCAGCAATAAATTAAATACAGTTGAAAAAGTATTTATTCTAAGATAACTTTAAGAAAGACAAAGGGCTTTAAAATAATTATCATTTTCTTCAGAGGGGGAATAAGTACTTGTATATTTACTTGAGTAGAAGTACTCAGGTCTTGATCTTGAGTAGAAGTACCAGAGTGAAGCAATACTCTGGTACAGTAAAAGTCCTGCATTCAAAATGTTACTCAAGTAGAAAAGTATTAGCATCCAAAATCTGTAAAGTAACTAAAATACAGGTATTAAATACATGTAGTGGAGTAAAAGTACCCCATGTACCCCTGAATTGTAATGAAATACTTCAGTTAATGTACTTTGTTACTTCACACCTCTGCTACATTCTCATATTATCAGCTGATCCGTCAGATATATTTGTTTATAAGTAATAACGTTGCACATAACCCACCAACAGGATTGAGTCATTGCTCACCACGTATCTTCAGTACACATTGTCCCAATTCTTAAATATACTTATGTGTTAAATGCACAATATGTTTCTCTGAACTACAGGGAAGTAACCGTATGAAGTTGCATTAAATAAAACATGTCATGAAATGAACTTTGATGCTTTAACTACTTCTAGTTTCTGATTAATTATATATTTTGTTTCAGCATCGATCACAGGAGCAGAGAGGCCCACTCGTGTTCGGAGGTACGCTGTGTTGCATATTTAGAAACACACTGTTTTAACGTTAGATCACGTGTTTCGGCTCGGTTGTTTACATGTTGTGACCCTTTTCTTTCACCAGGAGCCGGTGAAGAAGGAGCCTCGGACGACTGGAGGAAACACAAGTTATCCGTGTTCGTTTCAAGACTGCAGAGGGAAGGAGCTGCTGCCTGTCGTCTGTCCGCAGTGTGAGAGACAGCTCTGTTTGGCGTACGTTCTACTTTCTGTAAACCTTCACTGGAGAACATGCTGCTCCAACAACAAGTTAAAGAATAATCAAAACAAGGTGTTTTCACTTGAAATAAGTAAAAAGATCTGCCAATAGAACAAGTGAACATGAGCTTGGTGAGATGTCTTGAAATAAGAAGTGATGTTTAGATAAATCACATCTTGTAATCAGCAGGAGAACTCATTGTGAACTATATTTTAGGACATGTTGTGTTACAAAATAAGTCGCAAATGCTCAAAAGTTTCCTGTTTCCTGACGTTAGTTGGTGATTTCCTAATAAATATGTGTTTCATCTGAGATACGACTCAAAATAAGATCTTTTGACTTAACAAGATGATGCTTTGTCTAAAAACAAGACCTGATATCTCACTGCAGTGTCACTTCTGAAGTTATTGTGTCTTATATCAGGAGTAGAGACATAGATACTGGGCAAGATTTAGAGTCCGGCAGGGGCTCAGTCAGTCGGGGCTTGGACTGGGAGCTGTAGGGTCGCTAGACTCCTGGTGCTAGGATGTGTTAAATGCAGAGGCCTAATGTCCCTGTGTGCTCTGCATGTGAGACCAGAGGGTTTCATATTTATTTATTATTTATTAAGTTTTTGTAGTGAAATAAAAAGGGATGCATTTATTGTTCTGTAAACTAACATTTGTCTCTTCTTCTTGCCTCACAGCCACCGTCACCAAGATGATCACGAGTGTGAGAAGTTGGAGGTCCAGAAGCCTCGAATGGCCGCCACCAAAGAGCTGGTGCAAAAGATCGTAGGTGAGTTTCACAGTTTCTATCCCGACTTCATTTCTAATGTGATTCCGTATTTGTCCACATGGGGGCAGTATTTGTTCTCAGATCAGAATTCCTTTATTAGTCCGGAGCAAGAAAAGAGCCACAGAGAGCTTCATGTTGAAGCATGCATTCAAACAGGAGTGTTCCTAGCATGCTGCACGTCTGTCTGTCCCCTCAGAGGCAAAGGACACATCTAAGGCTAAAGGACGAAGAGGAGCGAAGAGCAGCACCACAGCAGCTAAAGTGGCCTTAATGAAACTGAAGCTTCATGCTGCGGGAGACAAGGGGCTTCCACAGGTAAGACCCCACTTTAAAGAGTCCTCTGCTGCATATCAGTATGTAGTGTCTCTACTTTAAAGAGTCCTCTCCTGCTGATGTTCAGGTGTATATCAGTATGTAGTGTCTCTACTTTAAAGAGTCCTCTCCTGCTGATGTTCAGGTGTATATCAGTATGTAGTGTCTCTACTTTAAAGAGTCCTCTCCTGCTGATGTTCAGGTGTATATCAGTATGTAGTGTCTCTACTTTAAAGAGTCCTCTCCTGCTGATGTTCAGGTGTATATCAATATGTAGTGTCTCTACTTTAAAGAGTCCTCTCCTGCTGATGTTCAGGTGTATATCAGTATGTAGTGTCTCTACTTTAAAGAGTCCTCTCCTGCTGATGTTCAGGTGTATATCAGTATGTAGTGTCTCTACTTTAAAGAGTCCTCTCCTGCTGATGTTCAGGTGTATATCAGTATGTAGTGTCTCTACTTTAAAGAGTCCTCTCCTGCTGATGTTCAGGTGTATATCAGTATGTAGTGTCTCTACTTTAAAGAGTCCTCTCCTGCTGATGTTCAGGTGTATATCAGTATGTAGTGTCTCTACTTTAAAGAGTCCTCTCCTGCTGATGTTCAGGTGTATATCAGTATGTAGTGTCTCTACTTTAAAGAGTCCTCTCCTGCTGATGTTCAGGTGTATATCAGTATGTAGTGTCTCTACTTTAAAGAGTCCTCTCCTGCTGATGTTCAGGTGTATATCAGTATGTAGTGTCTCTACTTTAAAGAGTCCTCTCCTGCTGATGTTCAGGTGTATATCAGTATGTAGTGTCTCTACTATTTGTGTGTGATAACTTGTTTGATTTCTTGATACCGTCTGCTGTATATGTTATGTAATGTTCTCCACCTCTCTCTCTCTCGTATTCTCATATTCTCATATCAGGCGGAGAGGACATATTTACAGGTTTATCTCCCGAAGGACTCCAAAGCCTCGAGCCAGCCGATGTTCTTCTGTTCTAAGTGGAGCGTGGGGAAGGCGGTGGATTACGCAGCTTCTCTGGCGAGTCTGAAGAACAGCAACAACATCCTGACCGCCAAGGTGAGGAGCATGTGACCTTAGGGTTAGGGTACTCCGGAGCCCTGTTCCCCACCGGATGCCTCCTGGTAGGCCGATAGTTTCCGATTGTGACAGCGAAAGCTACCATGTGGCAGAGTGGTTGGATTATCACCTCAACCCCCTTTCCATCCCGCATGAAAGTTATTTAAAGGACACTTAAGCTGGTTGAGCCATTTTTCCCGATGGATGTTAGTTTCTACACTAATATGGATACAGAGATGGGGTTGCAGGCAGTGAGGAATATTTTAAACCAGTTCCCGGATCCAGCCCGTCCTGATCAGGATATCCTCAGACTTTTGCATTTAAGCCTCACGAGAAATGATTTTTCTTTCAACAACAAATGGTTTCTACAGGTCAAGGGGGAAGCAATGTGCGCCAGCTTATGCTAACATCTCTAAGGCGGATTGGGAGGAACAACAACAGAGAAATCAACTCTGCGTGCACACTAGACATTCTGCTGTTTACAACATTACACTTTTTTAAAATTATCTTTTGGAAAGTATAATATGAACTTTACAAAAAATAATTACAACATGCTTTACTTACATTTTTTTTACATACAATGCTAATGAAAAATCGTTTTACCGTGATGTTTGAAACGTACTATACCTACTTTAATATATTTTAAATACATTTTGTATGATATTTTTGATATGCTATCCTGTGACTTTTTCCCATTTAAATGCAAAACATGTTGCATTAGCTTGTAATCGGAAAGAGAAATAGTATAGCAAAAAAGTCAGACTAGCATGTTGAGTATCGATAGGATAGTTTGTCAAAAATAGTCCAAGTGTAATATGTTTAAAAATATTAAAGTATGTCTTAAACAACATGGTGGCACAATTACATGTGTTTAATTAGCATTGTATGTCAAAAAGGTTATTATACGATGTCCAAAATATAATTTTAAAAGTGTCGCAGAGATATCCCCCCAAAAAGAATCATAGTATTTTATGTTGAAAACGACTGTGTGACATTTCTTTTTGCTTATCTGAACACACATTTGAATACACTTGACTTGAATCTCTCTCCTCTGTCTCGTAGAAGCTGCGTCTGTGCCACCCTCAGACGGGCGAGGCTCTCCAGATGGACGACACCCTGCTGTCCCTGCTCTCTCACCCAGAAACGCCCCTCTTTAACGGGGGAGACGTTGTGCTGGAGTACCTGGAGAACCAGAGCTCCGGCCTGGATGTGTCCGACTACATCAGCCAGGGTTGACTGACTCTGTACGGGAGGTTCCTCACGCCTTTCACATGTTCTGTGAATAAAACGTCCTTTAGAAAGTTCAACCTGTTAAAGCTTTTAACCAATTACATCTCACCTCAATCTCCAGCAGCCAAAGACTGTCATGTGTCAATAAATGTTCTGTGTTATGTGCAAAAAATAAAGTTTCTAAAAAAAAACTTAAATCAGTTTGTTGATAATGGAAAATGACATGTGTTGTGTTTTACATGGAAAATCATTTCACATGATAAAGTCAGAGTATAGAGTGGCGAAGTCCCTGCCCTTCCGGTGGACCTCCATGGGACCTTATTTCGGAAAAATTATGTATTGAAGTCAATGGAGAGAGAAAGATTATCTTTCGATCCCGTTTGAATTGTGCCACGAATTACACATATGATGTTTGTCAATTTAAAAGATAATTTTGCAAGTCAAAAAAAAAAAATGTCGTAAAACTGTGAAGTAACACATTTGTTTGTGTGAAACGCTCAAAGAACTACATCTCTGGTCAACAACACACGTCACCAAGATGGCCGTCACTACTGTCTTGTCAACAAAACGATTGACTACCCTCACTATCACCACAATGAAACACGTCCTGAAGAATGTCATGCAAAGCTGCCTGCCTGCCTTCCTTTGATTCTCTCTGAACTGCCTGGTCGTTTTAATGTTTAATGTCAACCATTTGTGCAGATAGCATGAAGTAGAGAAGATCGCTAGCGTTAGCGTTAGCATTTCTCCCCCGGGCTTAAATGGTGTATTATAGAATGATCACACCGGTGACAGTACTCTTCAAAGGGTTCACGAAATATGACTACTACTCTTACTGTTTAACATTTTGGGTTACTTAATGTTACTTCATGTTAAGGCTAATAAAAATGACAAGGCTGTAATGCTAACTAACGTGCTAGCTACTAGCTAGGTAGCTAACTTGATCAAGCCACTCCTGGTCCTTTCATCAGACGGGAAGCGAAAGAACGAGCAAGACCCATTGCTGGTATGATAACAACCTGGTACTAAGCACACAGGCATCTTGTTAAAGTTATCTTATCTTAGCCAGCGCCATATAGATAGATTATATCTATATGGCGCTGATCTTAGATCTTAGTGGAGGAAAACAATTGTGACATCACTTACGCGACTCTGGGATTTGTAGTCTTTCTAGTTGCGTATTTTTCATAGTCTTATATTTCAACAGTTTTACGACAAACTGTGACTTTTTTGACATGGAAATTATTTTGTAAGATTGACAAACATCATATGTGTAATTCATGGCACAATTCAAACGGGATCGAAAGATAAGTTTTCTCTCCCCATTGACTTCAATGCATAATTTTTTCCGAAATAAGGTCCCATGGGGCGGAAGTAGATGGGCGTGACTTCGCCACTCTATAGCGTATTGAAAAAGTGGATAAAGTCAGTATCGAGAGTTGAAAAAGTCACAAAAACGAAATGTCGAAAATGTGTGAATAAACGATATAGTATGCCACTTTATTATAACTCTTTAATAATCAATGACCTGTTATTTAATCTGAATCAAGAGGAAGTACCTCACGGTGAAACTGTCCCGTGTTCAGAGAAATAACCAGCAGATATTTGTACGTGTTTAACACCAAAAAGAAAGGAGAGAGATGTGACAGAGAAACGTTTGTGAAGTCTTTAATTCTCCTTTCAATCAAACAGTTTGGAGAAAAGATCTCTGGATAATCAGATTATTCAGTTTCTATGAGAGCTTTCATTCAGAGGTCAGAGGTCACCTTTAAGACGAACTCACAAGAAATGCACTCACTTTTTCTATACAACCGCACGTTCCCCTGCAGAACAACCGCACGTTCCCCTGCAGAACAACCGCACGTTCTCCTGCAGAACAACCGCACATTCCCCTGCAGAACAACCGCACGTTCTCCTGCAGAACAACCACACGTTCACGTTCTCCTGCAGAACAACCACACGTTCTCCTGCAGAACAACCACACGTTCACGTTCTCCTGCAGAACAACCACACGTTCACGTTCTCCTGCAGAACAACCACACGTTCACGTTCTCCTGCAGAACAACCACACGTTCACGTTCTCCTGCAGAACAACCACACGTTCACGTTCTCCTGCAGAACAACCAGACGTTCCCCTGCAGAACAACCACACGTTCTCCTGCAGAACAACCACACGTTCTCCTGCAGAACCACACGCGTCAGCTCCAGGTTCATCAGTTCTAAAGTCAAAGTTCTAAAGCAGACGTTGTGTTCAGGGACCGATCTGCTCCTCTATCTCCTCGCAGATCGTGTCGCCGACAGCCACCACCGTCTCTTCCTGTTTGTAGGCGAGCGCCGGCATCATGTCGTCGTCGAACAGGATGTGCGGTTCCTCGTCCTCAGCGGGTTCCCCCCCCTCTCCATGCATGCGCTTCCTGTGCTGCTGCAGGTTCCCGCTGCGGTTGAACCTGGCGCCGCAGAGCTCGCAGCCGTGCGGCCGCTCCCCCGTGTGGATGATGACGTGGCGCTGCAGCTGCGAGCGGCACTTCTTGTCTTTCCCACAGATGTGGCAGACGAAGGACTGCGCGGGCCGCTCCCCGTTGGCGTGGACGACCTCTCGGTGGCGCTTCAGATGTCCGAGGCGCCGGAAGCTTCGGCTGCAGAAGTCGCACCCGTACGGCCGCTGGTCGCTGTGGATCAGAGCGTGACTCGACAACAACGAGCGGAACTTGAAAACCTTTCCACAGATCGAACACGGGAACTCTTTGGATGACGCCACGCTCTTCCGGCGGTTGTGATTCTGCGCCCCGTTGCTGTTGCTTCTGAGGTGAACGCGGTCGTGATGCTGCTTCAGGGATGCGGCGCGGTGGAAGCTGCGCGGACAGAGGACACATCGGTGCGTTCGCTCTGCAGAATGAATGCGACCGTGCGCGGCGAGAAGCGCCTCCGACTTCAGGCGCTTCCCACAGACGCTGCAGGGGAACGGAGCGTCAGGCGGCGCGTGGTTGCTGTCCAACGTGGTGTTGTTGTGAACCAGGATCTTGTGGCGATTCAGCTGATACTGGCGTCCGAATTTCCGCCCGCAGATGTCGCAGAGGTGCGGCCGCTCGCCCGTGTGAACCTGGAAATGCACGGCGAGCTGCGAGCGGCACGGGAACTCTTTACCGCAGAAATCGCACAGCAACGAGCTAACCGGCGGCGGTTTCTCGCCACCGTCAACGTCCACGTGTACGATCTTCTTGTGGTGCTCCAGATCGTTGGTTCTCATGTAAGCTTTGGGACACAAATCGCAGCGGAACGGTTTCACCCCCGAATGGATGACTTCGTGCGTTTTGAGGCGTGATCGGCAGCTGAAGGTCTTCCCGCAGGCGGAGCACAGCCACGCGGGCGCCGGGCGATGTTTCTGGCGATGTTTCGCACCTTCGGGGTGCAGGCGCGTCAGGTGGTGCTGCAGGTTGTCTCTGCGGTTGAAGCGCAGCTCACACAGGTGGCAGGCGAAGGGTTTCTGACCCGTGTGGATGAAGGAGTGGCGCGCCAGGCTCGCCTTGTTCTTCATCACTTTGCCACACACCTCACACATGGTGCTGCCCGGCTCCAGCTTCACCGGGCGCAGAGGTGCATGCTGGGAGTCGGAGTCCAGTTGGGGAGACGAGGGAGGCGAGGCAGAGTCATCTGAAGAGGGGGGGGGGGGGATATCAGAGAGGAAGGAGTTCATAGTTTAAAGTAAATTATTATAAATAAACATAAATACTGTTATTATATTACAGTCTAAAAATAGATCGTACAGAAAATACAATGTATTTTTTTTATTTTAGAAAATGGTAAATAATACATACAAATATATTTTAAATGAATTAAATAATATGTCTCGGTCTGAGGGTCTCACCTCCTTCAGCTGGAGTCCAGATGGGGTCACCTTCCTCCTCCTCCTCTCCCTCCTCTCCCTCTCCCTCGTCCTCCTCCTCCTCTTCCTCCTGGGGGGGGTCAGTGACAGCCGACCCCCTGCGGCGCCCTCGTTGCACCGGACTCTGTTTTGGGGTCTTCTTCCTCAGGGGGGGGCCCCTCCTCTTCAGGGGAGGGGGGGGGGCTCCTCCTGCGGGGGGGCTTGATGGTTCTGGTTCTGGTCCGGTTGGTGCAGTGCTGCAGCAGAACCCCGTCAGAACCGTCTGACCTCACTGCGAAACACTGCAGCAGAACCTCAGAGGAACCTGAGAGAGAACCGAGGTTTATTATAAAAACATGTAAAATATACACCTGAACATCATCAGGAGAGGAACTCTTTAAAGTAGAGACACTACATCCTGATATACACCTGAACATCAGCAGGAGAGGAACTCTTTAAAGTAGAGACACTACATACTGATATACACCTGAACATCAGCAGGAGAGGAACTCTTTAAAGTAGAGACACTACATCCTGATATACACCTGAACATCAGCAGGAGAGGAACTCTTTAAAGTAGAGACACTACATACTGATATACACCTGAACATCAGCAGGAGAGGAACTCTTTAAAGTAGAGACACTACATCCTGATATACACCTGAACATCAGCAGGAGAGGAACTCTTTAAAGTAGAGACACTACATACTGATATACACCTGAACATCAGCAGGAGAGGACTCTTTAAAGTAGAGACACTACATACTGATATACACCTGAACATCATCAGGAGAGGAACTCTTTAAAGTAGAGACACTACATACTGATATACACCTGAACATCAGCAGGAGAGGAACTCTTTAAAGTAGAGACACTACATCCTGATATACACCTGAACATCAGCAGGAGAGGAACTCTTTAAAGTAGAGACACTACATACTGATATACACCTGAACATCAGCAGGAGAGGAACTCTTTAAAGTAGAGACACTACATCCTGATATACACCTGAACATCAGCAGGAGAGGAACTCTTTAAAGTAGAGACACTACATACTGATATACACCTGAACATCAGCAGGAGAGGACTCTTTAAGTAGAGACACTACATACTGATATACACCTGAACATCATCAGGAGAGGAACTCTTTAAAGTAGAGACACTACATACTGATATACACCTGAACATCAGCAGGAGAGGAACTCTTTAAAGTAGAGACACTACATCCTGATATACACCTGAACATCAGCAGGAGAGGAACTCTTTAAAGTAGAGACACTACATACTGATATACACCTGAACATCAGCAGGAGAGGAACTCTTTAAAGTAGAGACACTACATCCTGATATACACCTGAACATCAGCAGGAGAGGAACTCTTTAAAGTAGAGACACTACATACTGATATACACCTGAACATCAGCAGGAGAGGACTCTTTAAAGTAGAGACACTACATACTGATATACACCTGAACATCAGCAGGAGAGGACTCTTTAAAGTAGAGACACTACATACTGATATACACCTGAACATCAGCAGGAGAGGACTCTTTAAAGTAGAGACACTACATCCTGATATACACCTGAACATCAGCAGGAGAGGAACTCTTTAAAGTAGAGACACTACATACTGATATACACCTGAACATCAGCAGGAGAGGACTCTTTAAAGTAGAGACACTACATACTGATATACACCTGAACATCAGCAGGAGAGGAACTCTTTAAAGTAGAGACACTACATACTGATATACACCTGAACATCAGCAGGAGAGGAACTCTTTAAAGTAGAGACACTACATACTGATATACACCTGAACATCAGCAGGAGAGGACTCTTTAAAGTAGAGACACTACATCCTGATATACACCTGAACATCAGCAGGAGAGGAACTCTTTAAAGTAGAGACACTACATACTGATATACACCTGAACATCAGCAGGAGAGGACTCTTTAAAGTAGAGACACTACATACTGATATACACCTGAACATCAGCAGGAGAGGACTCTTTAAAGTAGAGACACTACATCCTGATATACACCTGAACATCAGCAGGAGAGGACTCTTTAAAGTAGAGACACTACATACTGATATACACCTGAACATCAGCAGGAGAGGACTCTTTAAAGTAGAGACACTACATACTGATATACACCTGAACATCAGCAGGAGAGGACTCTTTAAAGTAGAGACACTACATACTGATATACACCTGAACATCAGCAGGAGAGGACTCTTTAAAGTAGAGACACTACATACTGATATACACCTGAACATCAGCAGGAGAGGACTCTTTAAAGTAGAGACACTAACTACTGATGTGTCTCACCTGAGTGTCTCCAGCCCAGCTGTTGACTCAGCAGATCCACCTGGACAGCAGCGTCTCTCCGTTCTGCTGAGTCGCTCTGACAGCCCACTTCTTTCCTTGTCTCCTCCTTCCTCGTCTCCTCCTCTGGACTCTCCCATTGGCAGCCCACCTCCCTCCTTGTCTCCTCCCCCCTCAGCAGGAGCTCACAGAGCGGCTCTCCGGACGACATCTCTGCAGGAAACAGATATAAAATAAAATGTTTTCAAACGGTTTCTATGACAACAAGAAAGATGAAAATACAGATTAATAAAAATGACTTGAGTTTTGATCATTCATCAAGTTACTCAGGGTGTATTTTCTCTAAATGAAAACCCATTTCTAAGTTGTTAAAAGAGGCGATGTGACCCTATAACCATTATAACCAAAGATAGATATATCACAGAAAGACACGTATTCAGAAGAGTATTTAAACAAAATAAAATACTCTCCATTTCAGATATCTAAAGGGACAGAGACATATCAACACAGTGTACCTTATATACATTAAAAACTGTGCAGAGTAGCTTTTAATTAAAAGTTAAATATATAATGATATATATCAGATATGGTGTCACCACCTTTTCCTCCACTACATGTATTTAATACCTTTAGTTACTTCACAGATGTGGATGAATGATGTGAAATATAACCAAGTGTTAAATCAGACTTTAGTTCCACCTGGAGTAAATCCACAAGCTACCCTGCAGTATACAAAGTCATTCAAACTAGCTGCACCTTTACCAGCTTTGAGAACACTTTCATGATCAATCATTATAAAACATATCATATATATTATTCTGAAATGGACCAATCTGCACAATGACTACTTTTACTGTCGCTACTTTCACTATATTTTGATGAGAATACTTTTATACTTTTACTTGAGGAACATTTTGAATGCAGTACTTTTACTGTAACAGAGTATTCCTACACTCTGGTACTTCTACTTTTACTCAAGTACAAGATCTGAGTACTTCTACTTTTACTCAAGTACACGATCTGAGTACTTCTACTTTTACTCAAGTACAAGACGTGAGTACTTCTACTTTTACTCGAGTACAAGATCTGAGTACTTCTACTTTTACTCAAGTACAAGGTCTGAGTACTTCTATTTTTACTCAAGTACAAGATCTGAGTACTTCTACTTTTACTCAAGTACAAGATCTGAGTACTTCTACTTTTACTCAAGTACAAGATCTGAGTACTTCTACTTTTACTCAAGTACAAGGTCTGAGTACTTCTACTTTTACTCAAATACAAGATCCGAGTACTTCTACTTTTACTCAAGTAAGAGGCGTGTGGCGCAGTGGGTTAATGCGCTGATCTTCGAATCAGGGGATAGCAAGTTCGAGTCCCACTGCATGTCGTTGTGTCCCTGAGACACTTCACCCCAAATTGCTCCTGTGGGGATTGTCCACAGTATTGAGTATGTAAGTCGCTTTGGATAAAAGCGTCTAACAAGTGACATGTAATGTAATGTAATGGAAGTACAAGACCTGAGTACTTCTACTTTTACTCAAGATCTGAGTACTTCTACTTCTACTCAAGATCCGAGTACTTCTACTTCTACTCAAGATCCGAGTACTTCTACTTCTACTCAAGATCTGAGTACTTCTACTTTTAATCAAGTACACAATCTGCGTACTTCTAAGTGAATTAAACCTTTTCGGAACATTATTGTTTTATTAGTTTGGAGAAAATGTAACCTTATTCCTTAATACCCTGTAAATATAAGCATTGTTTTTAAGTTAATAATAAATGAATAAAATATCCTAATAAAGCGTGTTTTTTTTTAGCTTTCTGTCTCTTAACAAATAGTTCCACTAAAAGGTCATTTTAAATGTTTTTCAATTAAAAAGACCCACTTTATTATTTGAAGAAGCAACGTTCCCTCAGAAGCTAACATGCTAGCTAACACCAGATACCCGGATTTTCACCGACAGACAGAAAACAAAGAGTCCGATTTACCAGCGAGTTGAGCGGCCAGAAAGCAGCGTGAGGAGGGATTAATGTCCGGAGAGGGTTTTAATCTAATCGATAAAGAAACACATTTAAATCGTTAAACTGATTTCACTTCTTTAGCAGATCAACCGCCGCCGACAACACGGTCCGCACCGGAAGTGAATGTTCTTCTTCTACTTCCTGTGTCATGAGTGTGCGGTGAGTCACTTCCGCCCCCTGCTGGTCAGACTGTGAATAACAGCCATCTCTATTTTAACTGTTGATGACATTAGAGATTTAAATATATCTTTCATAAAATATAAAGTAAAATAGACAGACAGAGAGACAGACAGACAGACAGACAGACAGACAGACAGACAGACAGGCAGGCAGGCAGGCAGACAGGCAGACAGAGGGACAGACAGACAGACAGACAGACAGACAGACAGACAGGCAGACAGACAGACAGACAGACAGACAGGCAGACAGACAGACAGGCAGACAGACAGACAGACAGACAGACAGACAGACAGACAGACAGGCAGGCTGGCAGACAGACAGACAGAGAGACAGACAGACAGACAGACAGACAGACAGACAGACAGGCAGACAGGCAGGCAGGCAGGCAGGCAGGCAGGCAGGCAGGCAGGCAGGCAGACAGGCAGGCAGACAGGCAGGCAGACAGGCAGGCAGACAGACAGACAGACAGACAGACAGACAGACAGACAGACAGACAGACAGACAGAGAGAGAGAGAGACAGACAGACAGACAGACAGACAGACAGACAGACAGACAGACAGACAGACAGACAGACAGACAGACAGACAGACAGACAGACAGACAGACAAAAAGAATAGTCTGGATCCATACAAAAAAATACAACATTTTTTTAAAACAATATAACAATATATATTTTGTACATATTATTTGTACACACACAGAGACTCTGGTTTAAGAGTGTATACATATTTTTATTTGCAGTATTTTATAATCATACAACATAAATAAAAGCTTTCATTACAATAATGTTCTCGTCAGCAGCAGAGCCATTTACAACCAGGGTTACATCAATAACCCAGAGCCATTTACAACCAGAGTTACATCAATAACCCAGATCCTTTTATAACCAGAGTTACATCAATAACCACATCCCAGAGCCATTTACAACCAGAGTTACATCAATAACCCAGAGTTATTAATAAAAAGAGTTACATCAATAACCACAACCCAGAGCTTTATACAACCAGAATTACATCAATAACCCAGAGCCTTTTATAACCAGAGTTACTTCAATAACCACAACCCAGGGCCATTAATAACCAGGGTTACATCAATAACCCAGAGCCATTTACAACCAGAGTTACATCAATAACCCAGAGCCATTTACAACCAGAGTTACATCAATAACCCAGAGTCTTTTATAACCAGAGTTACATCAATAACCCAGAGCCATTTACAACCAGAGTTACACCAATAACCCAGAGCCATTAACAACTAGGGTTACTTCAAAAACCACATATTTAACGGAAGGACGGACTCTGTTTTTTTGTGTTTGTGTGTTTTAAGCGACACAAAAGTCCCTTTTAAAAAACAGACGATTTAAGAGTGACAGTGATTATGAGCAGCCGATACTGTGTGTTTAAAAAAATGATTGGTTTAATGGAAACAACGTAAATATTGAATAGTGATTGTCTCTCTGCGCTGCGAGAACAAGACGACATCGAAACGACTGAAGGAATAAATATTCTGCTTCCTGCTTCCTTATGTACAATATTAACAGCTGCCCGAAACTCAGGAGGAGAAAACACCACCGAAGAAGAAGAAGACGGACGACGACAGTGAAACCAACGCTAAAATATGCTGAAATAAAAACCAGGCGATGTTCAGAGACTCTCACGACTGAGGAACAAATCTTTAGTTTGATGTAATTATGGTTCATTTTTAAGTGTTTTTAACTCATTATATAACATTAGTGCTCGTTAAAGGACCATACCGTGTTTTAAACACCGCGACAAATATTCCCAGATTCATGAAAAGTGACTTTAAAATGAGTTTTTCTGCAAAATTCTCAAAATACATTTAATTGTAATTATATATTTCATATAATAAACATGTTTCTTTTCCATCAAATGTTTTTGTTATTATTATTAAAAATGTTTTTCATAAGTATAAAAACTAGTTTCGGGATTATTTCTGTAATTCTGAAACCTTTTCTTATTTCTTTAAATCCCTCTCGCATCAAAGATATTTTTCTCAATATTACCTTATATTTGGGCATCATTTTAAAAATTAAAGTGTATATCTTAATAGTCTTTTTCTTTTTTCGTAATCATGTAAACAGTTTTTTTTCGTGATTACGAGAAGAAAATAAAAATATTCAAAATGTGTATATATTTATTTCTTTATTTTTTATATATTATTATTTATTTTTCTAGTATCAAGTAATATTTTCCCCTAATAATACAAATAATTTTCCGTTATTACTAAATATGTTTTTCGTAACGATGAAACATTTTTCCCTAATTATTTTCTTGAATAATTTGAAATATTTCCCGTTTTTTTTACCCTTTCTTTGGTGAGTTGAGAGCACTTCATGAACTTTAAGCATCACGTACAATTAAAAACATTATTTGAAATATTCCAGCAGCTCCACGTGTCGCTGTGTGTTGAGAAATGTAAACAGGAAGTCCTTTATTAAAGCAGCGGTGAAACAGGTGGAGGTGAGTTCTCAAAGATCCTGTGTGTTCGCTGACAGGACGCTCCACTCGGAGTGAAAAAGCGGAGATGTTTCGGTTCATCAAGACGACAAAAAATGTAAAAAAAATTACACGGTGAGTTCAAACAAGGCAGTGCAAAAACTCCTCTTCCTCCTCCTCCTCTTCCTCCTCCTGCAGTCAGTAGTAAACCTCCTCTCCTTCCCTCCTCTCCTTGTCTCCTTTCCTCTCGTTGGGTTTAAGCAGAGTTCAGATACTCCAGAGCGACTTCATAGCAGAACTTATACTGTTCCTGTAGAGGAAAATCAGCCAAAAAACACGTTTTAGCATTTAAATATACATAAATAAATAATATTACATTCATGTATAGATTATTGTACATTTAAAATAATTTAAAGAAAAAGAAATGTAAATATTACCAGCAGGTCCACCATGTTTGGTTTGTTGTTTCTCAGAGTTTTTACGGCGTGAAAGTTATCGACGCAGCGCTGCTGACGTAACATTTCACACACGATGCTGACGCTGCAAAACACTCCACTACGACCACCGCCATTTCTGAGGAGAGGAGGCAAGGAGAGAAGACAAGGAGAGAAGGAGAGGAGAGAAGGAGAGGAGACAAGGAGAGGAGGAGAGGTGACAAGGAGAAAAGACAATGAGAGGAGATTTAATTGTCAGCATGTGTTTCCACGGTCTGGCCACCAGGTGGAGACAAAACACCACAAATGAGCTCAGAATCTTTTCAGTAGTAAAACTGTGTTAAAGTGCATTTGGAAGTATTACCGTATATCTTCAGTAGTACAGCAGTCTTTAACGATATTAATAGTAGTAATAAAGTACTCTGTGATGTCCTTAAGTACTCTGTGATGTCCTAAGTACTCTGTGATGTCTCCTAAAGTACTCTGTGATGTCCTAAAGTACTCTGTGATGTCCTTAAGTACTCTGTGATGTCTCCTAAAGTACTCTGTGATGTCCTAAAGTACTCTGTGATGTCCTAAAGTACTCTGTGATGTCCTTAAGTACTCTGTGATGTCCTAAAGTACTCTGTGATGTCTCTTAAAGTACTCTGTGATGTCCTAAAGTACTCTGTGATGTCCTAAAGTACTCTGTGATGTCCTAAAGTACTCTGTGATGTCTCCTTAAGTACTCTGTGATGTCCTAAAGTACTCTGTGATGTCCTTAAGTACTCTGTGATGTCCTAAAGTACTCTGTGATGTCTCTTAAAGTACTCTGTGATGTCCTAAAGTACTCTGTGATGTCCTAAAGTACTCTGTGATGTCCTAAAGTACTCTGTGATGTCTCTTAAAGTACTCTGTGATGTCCTAAAGTACTCTGTGATGTCCTAAAGTACTCTGTGATGTCCTTAAGTACTCTGTGATGTCCTAAAGTACTCTGTGATGTCTCTTAAAGTACTCTGTGATGTCCTAAAGTACTCTGTGATGTCCTTAAGTACTCTGTGATGTCTCTTAAGTACTCTGTGATGTCCTTAAGTACTCTGTGATGTCCTTAAGTACTCTGTGATGTCCTAAAGTACTCTGTGATGTCCTTAAGTACTCTGTGATGTCCTTAAGTACTCTGTGATGTCTCCTAAAGTACTCTGTGATGTCTTAAAGTACTCTGTGATGTCTTAAAGTACTCTGTGATGTCCTTAAGTACTCTGTGATGTCTCCTAAAGTACTCTGTGATGTCCTAAAGTACTCTGTGATGTCCTTAAGTACTCTGTGATGTCCTTAAGTACTCTGTGATGTCTCCTAAAGTACTCTGTGATGTCTTAAAGTACTCTGTGAAGTACTCTGTGATGTCTCCTAAAGTACTCTGTGATGTCCTAAAGTACTCTGTGATGTCCTAAAGTACTCTGTGAAGTACTCTGTGATGTCTCCTAAAGTACTCTGTGATGTCCTAAAGTACTCTGTGATGTCCTAAAGTACTCTGTGATGTCTTAAAGTACTCTGTGATGTGTATTTGTGCAGTACTTCTCTCTTACAGGCAGTGCACCACGGTCCTCCCTTCCCCCCCGTCGTACTCGTCCTGCCACTTGTCCACCTGGTGGACGAGCTTCAGAAAGGAGCGCTTGTTTACGGGCGTGTCACGGTACATCGGCCAGCCGAGGAACTGGAACTGCTGCACCATGCGGTACCCGTCCTGAGGCTGGGGGGAGACAGGGGGGAGACGGGGGGGAGACGGGGGTTAAAACAAACGCACCCTAACAGTAGGAGAGTGTGGTGAAAAAAGAAACACAACCCAAAGTAAAATCACTTGAAAGCTAAATACTGAGAGGAAGTAAGGAAAGGAAAGGTAAAGAGGAGGTGAGGAGAGGTTAATAAGCAGGTTAGGAAAGGAAGAAGGAAGCGGGAATAAGGAAAAGGAAGAAGGACATAGGAAAGGAAATATGGATACGGATAAGAAGGAAGGAAGGCAAGAAGGAAAGTATAGGAAAGGAGAGAGAAGGAGGGAAGGAAATAAGGAGAAAACTAAAGAAGGGGTAAGTAAGGTAGGACAGGAATGAGGAGGTAAGGAAAGGTAAAGTAGGACATAGGAAAGGATATATGGATACGTAATGATAAGAAGGAGGGAAGGAGTCAAGAAAGAAAGGAAAGGAAAAAGGACATGGAAAGGAAAGGAGAAGAGGAGGGAAGGGAAGGAGAAGTGGGACATAGGAAAGGAAGGGAGAACACATGTAAGAAGTGAATAAAGAAGAGACAGGTAAGGGGGGGGGGGTGTTAACCGATTCTAACCTAAATGTGAGCCGACAGGGAGGAGAAAGCTCTCGAATCAAACGCACTGAGAGCTAAATCCGACCTGCCACCGGGAGGCGGGTGGTGGGGGGGGGGGGGGGGGGGGGGTCTGGATCAAACACAGCCAAAATGTAGTGAGACACAGGGAGGAAACGAGGCACAAATCAAACCTAAACTCAGCCCGACAGGGGGGGCGAGGGGGTGGTTAAATCAAACGCATCTGATCTAAATCTGCTAAAAACACTGGAGAGAAACTGAGGTTTTTGGATCAAAATAAGGAGGAACGTTAGGAGACAGAAATCAAACACACCCTGAACACCTGAGGACGTAAAGGGGTCAAAATCAAACACAGGGTGCGTTTGATTTTGTCTGTTTACACTGTCTGCTAGATATTTAGTTATTGAGATTTCACCCTCCTCTACTTGCACGACCTCCATCAAAATAATCTACCAACACCAGTTCTATTTGACTTTGAAACCAGTCAAAATGCAGGCGTAAAACAAACAGAGGGAGGTGTCAGAGAGTAAAACAAACGCACCCTGGCCGTGTTGTAGATCCTGAAGATGCGACTGATGACGTCCTCCTCCAGATCTGCAGAAACAAACTCCACCTGCAGAGAGCCGAGGCGATGGAGCCCGTTTTCAGGCCAGTACTGAGGACACAACTGGGACAAAAAGACAGAAAGACGGGTTTAAAGATGAGACTGACCTGGGACCAGCTGCTATAGACTGAAGACTCTCCTATAAAGCTTATACTGAGGGCTGGTTCAGACTGACCTGGGACCAGTTCCTAGTTCCGCTGCTATAGACTGAAGACTCTCCTTTTATAGTGAGGGCTGGTTCAGACTGACCTGGGACCAGTTCCTAGTTCCGCTGCTATAGACTGAAGACTCTCCTCTTATAGTGAGGGCTGGTTCAGACTGACCTGGGACCAGTTCCTAGTTCCGCTGCTATAGACTGAAGACTCTCCTCTTATAGTGAGGGCTGGTTCAGACTGACCTGGGACCAGTTCCTAGTTCCGCTGCTATAGACTGAAGACTCTTCTCTTATAGTGAGGGCTGGTTCAGACTGACCTGGGACCAGTTCCTAGTTCCGCTGCTATAGACTGAAGACTCTCCTATAAAGCTTATAGTGAGGGAAACTGACCTGGGACCAGCTGCTAGTTCTGCTCCTATAGACTGAAGACTCTCCTATACAGCTTATAGTGAGGGCTGGTTCAGGCTGACCTGGGACCAGCTGCTAGTTCTGCTGCTATAGACTGAAGACTCTCCTCTTATAATGAGGGCTGGTTCAGACTGACCTGGGACCAGCTCCTAGTTCTGCTGCTATAGACTGAAGACTCTCCTCTTATAGTGAGGGCTGGTTCAGACTGACCTGGGACCAGCTGCTAGTCCTGCTGCTATAGACTGAAGACTCTCCTCTGTGACAAAGCTTATAGTCTTTTAATGTCTCTAATGTACAATGCCTTGTCTTTGTATGCTGCTGCTGCAACGCAAACATTTCCCAAATTGGGATCAATAAAGTACTTCTTATGTTATCTTATCTTATCCTGTATCCTGTTTCAGGCTGACCTGGGACCAGTACTTAGTTTTTGCACCTCTCAAGTTGCAGGTAAAATGTTATTTGACCTCTGCAAAAGATGTTCTTATATATGGAAATGTCCCTCTTCTTATATCATTAGATTAGATTAGATTCCTTTTATTGTCACTGCAGCGAAACTCCAAGCCTTCCCGATGGTGCGATCACACATAACAGACAGTATGAGATTCATGTTGACAATACAAGCTAAAACTGTTCATATATAACATATTAAGTGACTATAAATTGGACCTATGACAAAACAATAACATTACCATACAAATACAAGAACAGTAAAAAATGTAAACAAGTCAGTAAGTAAGTATAAATATGTGTTCTATAAAAACCTCTTGTAATAATTCCTAATTAAGAAGATTTAAAAGACTGATCAGTGAAGTTCAAGGTTTTGTGTGAGTACCTGTGCGGGGTCCACGTCGTTCAGCATGACGATGGACGTGCAGTGATAGTCGAGGACGAGACGCCAGAAATCTTTCACCGTGTTTGGCAAAGGATGCTGGGTAACGATGAACGCTGACGGCTGCTTGTAGCTCTGTAACAGGAAGTGACATCACACAGGTGAATAAACAACAACAAGGTGACACAGTGATACCTCGTACAACAAGTCAGGATTTCAAATCTTTGCCGAAATGTAAATAAATATACTGATGGATAATCGACTAAAGCCAAGTTTCCCTTTCAGAAAAAGCCAGTAAATGATCCTTTAACCCTTGAATTGGTGAGTTAGGTCTTGGTCTCCTATCATCCATTAGCCATTTTGCTGCTATTTTAATGCTATAATGTTTATATTTATCCATGACTTCTTTACTCAAGTCAAAGTAAAGAGGGCTTTGAAATGTACTTCAGTAAAAAGTACCCATAACTAGCAGCTGTTTTAAAGAGTACCTGACCTCCCTTTATATTAATAGAACAATAATGTCATTGTTAGCTAATGAATGTTTCCATGCTGAACAACGGCAACATGACAACGTTTTCATTGGTCCCTCTTCTTTAGAGAAGACCAGGAAATGATGGATACACGGATCGTGTTCAAATCAATAGGCACGCAATGACTCTAAAGAATAATGATCACGCCACCAAACACACATTCAAACTAAAGGAACCAGCCTGTTTGGGAAATGTGAGAAGTAGAAAGTACAGGTATTTGGGTTCAACATGTAAGAAGTAGAAAGTACAGGTATTTGGGTTCAACATGTAAGAAGTAGAAAGTACAGGTATTTGGGTTCAACATGTAAGAAGTAGAAAGTACAGGTATTTGGGTTCAACATGTAAGAAGTAGAAAGTACAGGTATTTGTGTTCAACATGTAAGAAGTAGAAAGTACAGGTATTTGGGTTCAACATGTAAGAAGTAGAAAGTACAGGTATTTGGGTTCAAGATGTAAGAAGTAGAAAGTACAGGTATTTGTGTTCAACATGTGAGAAGTAGAAAGTACAGGTATTTGTGTTCAACATGTAAGAAGTAGAAAGTACAGGTATTTGGGTTCAAGATGTAAGAAGTAGAAAGTACAGGTATTTGTGTTCAACATGTAAGAAGTAGAAAGTACAGGTATTTGGGTTCAAAATGTAAGAAGTAGAAAGTACAGGTATTTGTGTTCAACATGTAAGAAGTAGAAAGTACAGGTATTTGGGTTCAAGATGTAAGAAGTAGAAAGTACAGGTATTTGTGTTCAACATGTAAGAAGTAGAAAGTACAGGTATTTGGGTTCAAAATGTAAGAAGTAGAAAGTACAGGTATTTGTGTTCAACATGTAAGAAGTAGAAAGTACAGGTATTTGTGTTCAAAATGTAAGAAGTCAAAGTAAAAAGTCGTCAGAAAAATAAGTAGTGGAGTAAAGTACTGATACCAGAAACATGTACTTAGGTACAGTAACAAAGTATTTGTACGTACGTCCATGAGAGCTGCGTTGATGTAGTTGGAGCTTTCTCCGTCGATGGTGATGAGGAAGGGGAGGCAGCGGTCTGGAGGAAGGACGTCCATGCAGCGGTTCTTCTCGTGGTTCCTCGGCAGCAGAGCGATGCTGCAGTCCTCGACCCGCAGCGTGGGCGTCACCATGTTCAGCGTCTGGACACCAATAACAAACTGTTAATACTTAAAGCAGTAAAATCAATCAATACTGGGGCGTCGTTGTGTTAATTGGTAGAGCTGTGTTGCTCCAATTAAGGCACTGGTTGCCCAAATAACGCTTAAAAATATATAAATAATAATAAAAAACTATATTATCACCATGTTCAGAGTCTTTGCACCAATACTAAACAATACCCTTAATAACAATAATCAATATTTACATCTAAAAAAACAAAACCATCACCTTTTTCAGTTTTTGAGCAAATAAATACCAATATTTCCACAATTAAACAATAAATAAATAATCATTAGTGATAGAAAACAGCATAACAGATAAATACCAATAATATTAATAATAAAAAATAACAAACAATATCATCATTCTGTAAAGAGTCTGCATTAAATACCAATAAATATCAATATATTACGAGTTATTATCGTTCATTACCTTCAATAGAGGCTTATTTAGTTAATAACTGTTTAAAATTAAGTAAGTTTTATATATGATTGCAGATGTAATGGTTTATTACTCTTAAATAATTGGTTATTAAAATGAATATCTGCAGAAGTAATGGTTTATTAGCATTTAATAACTGATTACTTACATTTGAAACTGTATAATCGGTTGTTTATAACTGTTTAGTAGTGGGTAACAAACATTTATAAGTGCAGAATTAAAGTGTTATAACCCATTATACACTGTTTACTAACACATGTATTTATATTATATATTATTAACACATGTACCTGCAGATGCTAGTCAGTCGTTCATTATGTACAACCTAAAAACACGTTACCCTGAACTCCTCTTTGATCTGGCTGGAGTTGGTCTGAGGGTCCAATCGGTTCATCTCGTAATACACAGAGCGCAGCTGATTGGCCGGGATGGCGGTGTCGCCGCAGAGACACGCCTCCAAGATGGCGTCGTGGATGAAGACGTACTGCTCCTGAAAAACAAAGAGAGGAACCGTCAGCTCTGGAGGAAAATGTCACTTCATAAATGATTTATGTCAAGAGAGAGGAAGAGGAGTGACATTAAAGGACGAAGAGAGAGAGAGAGTCTCTCTGTCACTTCCTGTCAGACTTCAGAAGAACTGCAGAACAATAACAACCAAACACTGCGGAGACATATCGTGTGTGAAGAAGGAATGAGAAGAAACTAAAGTCTATATGTATGGCTATCTCTTAGACAACATATAACATAAGAAGTACTTGATCCCAAATTGGGACATGTCGTTGCAGCAGAATAAAAAAAAAAGAAACACAAGTAAAAATTAAAAGACTAGAAATAAACAATTCAAAATGTGAACATTTCAGAATAGAAATAAAACAGCATTAAAAAGTAAAAAAATATACAAGTTGACCTATCTATAAACTATCTGACAAATAAAACCATATTGAGGGGACAATTTTCAGTTAACACAATACAATAAAGCAGGATATTATTTACATTAAGTGTGTAAAGAATGGAATATTAAATTAAATATAAATGACAATTCAACTATGTAATACATCTGTAAAACACTGTGCAATATACTTGTAATACTACTAACCTGACTGCTATCACACTACTTTATCAATGCTACACTTTTAAAAACTGTTACTGGTACTTTTTGTTGTCAACCTGGATGTGTATTTTGTAAATTGTGGAATTTCTATTTTACCTTAATATTTAAGGCATGCCTCTAATTCAATATTTAGCTATTTCTGGCTCTTTATTATTGCTGTAACAATGTACATGTCCCCTGTGACGAATAAAAGTATTCTGATTAAGTGTGTTTTTGTGTGGACCCCACAATTTGGCTAAAATATGTGGACCCCTCAAAGTGTAGAAAACAAGTATGGGTGTGTTTGTGTGTTTGTTTGTGCGTTTCTGTGTGTGTATTATAGTGTCTGCATTTATCCGAAAGTAACATTTGTCAGATACAACGTTTTCAATACTTCAGATTTCAGTTAAGATTGCTTTGGCGCCGCCTCTGGTTGGTGGTGGTAACTGCACATTATTACAATAGGCAGGATCTGGTGAAAATCGAGGGTTTTTGGGACTGCATCTCCCATGATTCTCCCATTATTGGGGGATGGATGTTAACAGAATGTGTTTATCTTGACTCCCCTTATATATTTTGACCTGATATATAATTACCTCTGTCTGCACCATGTTCACCCTGCGTGCTCGTAGCTCTCGGACACAGTTGTAAATGTCGACGACGCCTTCTCGCTCCGCCATGTCCAGCATGATGTCGATCACTATGAAGCAGCCTGTACGCCCTGCGCCCGCACTGAAACACAAACACACACACACACACTTATTTACACACATTTCTTACCGTGTTTCTCGTTTGAAGCCTGAAATCAGGTCTGTGGTTAACAGAAGCTGAAGATATTTTTATTTTACGACGGTCAGTAAATACCCCACTGGTGGATTTAAAAAAGGCAGTTGCCAACAAGTGCCTAAATGAGACAAATAAACGTCATCACGCCCAACATTAGCCTCCTTTAGCTTAGCGGTGGTGACATGAAGTAATGTGACCTTGCTGTAGTTCCTTTATAGCCCAACATTAGCCTCCTTTAGCTTAGCGGTGGTGACGTGAAGTCATGTGACCGTGCTGTAGTTCCTTTATAGCCCAACATTAGCCACCTTTAGCTTAGCGGTGGTGACGTGAAGTCATGTGACCGTGCTGGAGTTCCTTTATAGCCCAACATTAGCCACCTTTAGCTTAGCGGTGGTGACGTGAAGTCATGTGACCGTGCTGTAGTTCCTTTATAGCCCAACATTAGCCACCTTTAGCTTAGCGGTGGTGACGTGAAGTCATGTGACCGTGCTATAGTTCCTTTATAGCCCAACATTAGCCTCCTTTAGCTTAGCGGTGGTGATCCCATTGGACCAGGGACTTCAGGGTCCCGATAAGATGTAATGTAAGTTAGTATTTACCTGCAGTGGACTACGGTTGGTCCGGCGGTCGGGGGGGTTTTGGCCTTGACGCGGCGGATGAATCCGAGCAGGCCGGTGGCGTGAAGCGGCACGCCGTGATCCGGCCAACCGGTGAAATGAAACTGCCGGATCTCCCTGATCTCTGCCACGCCACGCTGACAGAAACAGAGAGGTAACACACACACATAGATGTTACTCACCATGAAACTTCCCCACTTCATTACTGACATTAAGTATGTGTGTGTGGGAGTGTGTGTGTGTGTGTGTCTGTTACCTTCTCCACGGCAAAGGTCCGGATCACGTACTCTGAAAGCAGCTGGGTCTCGATCAGCGTCACCTTCATGTCGCCGTAAATCTCTGTGTCGTCTGGCCAGTACTTACAACACTTCACCTGCACACACACACACACACACACACACACACACACACACACACACACACACACACACACACACACACACACACACACACACACACACACACACACACTAATTAATTAAACAGCTGATATTAAAATCTCATTAGAGGCCCCGCCCCTTCCTCATTAACAGCTAATTACTGCGGAGCTAATCACATCGTCGCCACGGCAACAAACGAGGTGAACGGAGGGGGGTTGCAGTGCTAAAGTGACACTGGTGTGTGTGTGTGTGTGCGTGTGTGTGCGTGTGTGTGTAGGTGTGTGTGTGTAATTGTGACTGATAATCAGTTGGATCTATCCCAGAATCCCCCTCTGCAGCTCTCCTGGATCCCTGGTGCCTTCTGGGTAATGAGAGCTGGGACCTGGAGCACGCCTGCAGGTGTGTGCGTGTGCGTGTGCGTGTGTGTGTGTGTGTGTGTGTGTGAGGAAGATAATCTCAGGTTAAATCTTCTCTGTGTTTCACGATGAAGCACTTCAGAAGACGTGTTTTTGAATAGTTGTAACATGTTTTAAAAGTTTATTTTCATCTTTTTATTGTAATTATCTTCTTCAAATAAATATATTTCTATGTTGGTTTTTTTGTATCTACTTTAATTACTCCCTATGTTTATGACTATGCATCAACCCAGATGAGTTTCGGTTCCATACGAATGTAAATTTCTGCTCGAAAATGCTAATTAATCCACACAGGAGTTTCAGGGAATAAACTTTTCCAACAACAGAGGAGGAGACACAAAGAGCAGAGACTGACAGATGCACTCTGGGAAATGAAGTCCCCAACTTCATCAAGAGACGAACAATAACAACAAGCAGATGGCCACAACAATCAATGTGTGTGTGTGTGTGTGTGTGTGTGTGTGAGTGTGTGCACGTGGACTCACCCGCCCCACCTCCACCAGGTTTGTTACCATGACGATGGCGGCGGTGTTTTCCTGCCAAACCATCCTCCAGAAATCGTACACAGTCTCCTGCATGGGACCTGCAACACACACACACACACACACACACACACACACACACACACACACACACACACACACACACACACACACACACACACACACACCACACACACACACACACACACACACACACACAAACACACACACACACAGAGTAAACTTCATATTAGACGGCGGATCAGCAGGCGACACCGGAGCTGTACATGAATTATAATGACTCTTTTTCATTAATTCAAATCAAGCGCACACACACACAAACACACACACACACACACACACTCGTACACACACACACACACGCCGAACATGTTTTTAATCACTGTTGACTGTCTGTGTTTTGACGAGCTAATTAGTTCATGCTAATCCATTCCTGTCCTCAAGTGTTTTACAGCGAGAATCTGCTGCCTGCACACACACACACACTGGCACCTATACACACACTCAATATTCATGCTCACAGACTGACATGTTCGCACAAACACTCAAGTTTGTTCAGGAGGATGTGTGTGTGTGTGTGTGTATTTGTGTGTGTGGGCCCCACAGTTTGGCTAACACTATATCGACCCCTCAAGGGAGGAAATTGTGTGTGTGTGTGTGTGTGTGTGTGTGTGTGTGTGTGTGTGTGTGTGTGTGTGTGTGTGTGTGTGTGTGTGTGTGTGTGTGTGTGTGTATGTGTATGTGTCTGTGTGTGTGGGTGTGTCTGCAGGTATCTGAAAGTTAGATTTCAAACTTAAACTGTTAGATAAGTTTTTATTTCTTCAGATTTGAGTTGTGGGTTATTGGGCGCCACCTGTGGTCGGTGGTGGTAACTGCAGGTTATTACTAAAAGGCGCAGGGGTGAGGTGGTAATTAAAGGGTTTTGGAACTACAACTACCATTATGCTTTGGGGGATGGTAACCCATATAAGCATGTCTTAATCTTCACCCTGCCTTCCCATTTATTTTAATTTTAAAAAAGTTTAAAGATTTCCCAAATCTTGGGAACAATTTCGAGACATTTTGAGAATTAGTCGAAACATTTTAAAATAAATATAGACCAAAAACTCTGAATATATACACAGTCTGAATATTTTGGAGTTCATTATGAGAAAAAAGTCTTAATTCTGTGAGAAATAAAGATTGAATATTTTTAGAAGTAATTGAAAAAAAATTGGAATTTCATTGTATTATTTACCCGCAGAACATCACACACACACACAGTACTTATTATTATAGGTGTAATTAAAGTATATTGAAAGTGTGTTTTCAGGGCTTACCTTGGGTGGCGATGTAGTGATTGGGTCGGTGGTATCCCTGAGAGGAGAGGAAACACTTAATTAGAAATGAAAATATCCCAAAAATGTAATTAAAGAGACATTAAATTATGTTTTTATGCCATCTAGTTTAATTATATTGGGGAGAAGGCACACACACACACACACACACACACACACACACACACACACACACACACACACACACACACACACACACACACACACACACACACACACACACACACACACACACACACACACACACACACACACACACAGTCGTTTGTTTACAGAGTCAACACCAACCGACACTGACTGATGGCGGGCGTCACCATGGAAACAGAGTCGACCAGATCGACCTTTAAAGGAGAGTAAACTTTGTATGTGTGTGTGTGTGTGTGTGTGTGTGTGTGTGTGTGTGTGTGTGTCTGTGTGTGTGTGTTTCTGTGTGTGTGTGTTTCTCTGTGTGTGTGTGTGTGTGTTACTCACATCCACGTAGTTTGCATTGATGTAGTCGGAGCCGTTCTCTCCATCCTGAGGCTGCAGACGCACACGAGAGTGGTCGTCTACACACACACACACACACACACACACACACACACACACACACAGAAACACACACACACAGAAACACACACAAAGAGAGACACACACACACACAGACACACAGTTATAATTGGAAAATAATCACATATAATTAGCTTCTGTTGAATAAATAAACTATGTAATCATACATTAATAACCACTTTATTACATTATATATGATTACATTAAATATAATTACATATATTTAATATCAGTAAAAACATAAATAAACAAAGCTAATTATGTCCCTCTCTCATTACTCAACACATTTATTTATAAACCTTTAGTTTGACGCATTCATAAATAAAATGATTCTAATATACACAGGGTGGTATCAATAAATAATAAATACCTGGCTTAAAACATCCTTATATTAAAATAAGAACTGTAAGGAAGGGGACTGTATGAGGGTTTGGTTTCTTTACTTTATCAATAATAAACCAGACTTATTAAACCAGGACCAACAAGTCTTAAAATAACTGCAAAACCAAGACTAACTAGTCCCAGGTTAAGGGCCAATCTAAGACCATCAAGTCGTTGGTTGAGTTTGAAGTCAAGCCCCAGATCAATACCCTAGTGAAGGCCTACAAGTCATGTTCAAAGTCAAAACCAAAAAGTCACATTTTAAAGAACAGGATCTTGACCTGCAAGTCCAAAGTCAGGTCTCAATCAAGTCTCTAGTCAAGTCCCAGGTAAGGATCAAAGTGCAAAACCAAGACAAACAAGTCCTTGGTTAGGATTTGAGTCAAGACCGTTTGAGGGCCTACAAGTCCCACGAGTCATTTGCACATTTAAGAGCCACGTTATAAGGACCAAAATCAGATCAAAAATCAGGATTAACAAGTCCCAAGTCAAGAAGCTACAAGTCCCAAGTCATGTGCAAATGTAAGACCCATGCTAAGGGGCAGGTTTTGACCAATAAGACCAGAATCAGGACAAACAAGTCCCAAGTAAAGACCCAAGTTCTGTCGCACCCTGATTATAATATATATATATATATAAATACCTGATTCTACTGATGCTACATTTACACAGACAGTTTCAGCTGGTACCTAATTGGTCTCCTGGTTGGTCAGCTGGTACCTAATTGGTCTCCTGGTTGGTCAGCTGATACCTAATTGGTCTCCTGGTTGGTCAGCTGGTACCTAATTGGTCTCCTGGTTGGTCAGCTGGTACCTAATTGGTCTCCTGATTGGTCAGCTGGTACCTAATTGGTCTCCTGGTTGGTCAGCTGGTACCTAATTGGTCTCCTGGTTGGTCAGCTGGTACCTAATTGGTCTCCTGGTTGGTCAGCTGGTACCTAATTGGTCTCCTGGTTGGTCAGCTGGTACCTAATTGGTCTCCTGGTTGGTCAGCTGGTACCTAATTGGTCTCCTGGTTGGTCAGCTGGTACCTAATTGGTCTCCTGGTTGGTCAGCTGGTACCTAATTGGTCTCCTGGTTGGTCAGCTGGTACCTGAGTTTCATATCCCCTGACCCGGGTCTATATCTGAGTATCAGTGATTGGTACGTACAGGCGATGATGTTTCCGTAGCGGTTCTTCATGCGGTTTTCGTCCTTTTTGGCCGAATCCCAAGGAGCCGACTGGCCCTCGAAGAAACTCTGAAGTAGAAAAAAGGAAGAGATTATTTTACAGCGAGTGATGAAACCGTGTGAAGGATCCATGAATTATGCAGCGGATCTCACAGGAAGTGCTCTGTGCTCGATTATTAAGTCCAATTATGAGAGCGGGGCTCAGAGAGGAGCGTCTAAACACAGAAAATATCTCCGTGCTGAGACGACACTTTTACCTCTGAAGAAACACAGGAATACTTCATCTTTATATCACTGTCCAACTGGATCAACATATCACAATCCTCTTTGGATCAATCATTGAAGTTTTCTGTCTTTTTGCAGCCGTTAAAATGGAAAGTGTGTTCCCATAAAATGTGTCTCTGTATCGTCTTGATAAACATTGGATCTCTTTATGTATCATAACGGCTGAGTGTCATGAAGCAGCACACACACACACACACACACACACACACACACACACACACACACACACACACACACACACTTTGATCCACGGCATATTTCCTGGGTCGCTCATTAAAACGCCTGCAGACAGTGTGTGTGTGTGTGTGTGTGTGTGTGTGTGTGTGTGACAGCAGCAAGAGCTTCAAACATCCATCAAACTGAGAGGTGAGCTATGTCACGCACACACAGACACACACACTGAAACACACACAAAAACACACACACACACACTCACTCAGCTCTAAATGATTGACAGCAATGGACAAAAGGACATATTTTTTCCTAAAGGACTTAAAGGAAGAAATGGACAAATGACTCGACTGTGTGTGTTTGTGTGTGTGTGTGTGTGTGTGTGTGTGTGTGTGTGTGTGTGTGTGTGTGTGTGTGTGTGTGTGTGTGTGTGTGTGTGTGTGTGTGTGTGTGTGTGTGTGTGTGTGTGTTAGCCGTTCCCTGAAACCACCAACAACCTCCATCAGTGATTGTGAAGGTCATGTCTTCTAACCTCGAACACACTGTCTTCATTCGCTCATGAACTCCTGAGGAGCACCTGAACACATCATTGGAAGTCTACTTCATTTCTGTTTACCTTCTGCAGTGGATTATGTCTTAGATTATTAGTGTTTTTGGGTCTTTTTATTTATATATTAAGAAGGATCTATTCATGTTTTAACATCATATTTGAAGCTTTAGCTAACTCAGTAATTCAAAGTGAGATATAATGAGGAAAAGTGGAAATCAAACAGATTAAATAACAATTTACGGAGGGTTAGTTTGGGCGATTGGACCACATTTCTTTGGGCTATTTTTGTTCTTTTATTTGGGTAGTTTTATGGTCTTCCCCCAAAAAACAATAGGGCTTGATTATTGGACAATGACCTGAGTATGTTGTTTCTTATCTATTTAGTTTTGTCTGTACGTTACCATAACAAACATGAACATCCATTCCTCAGTCTCTCTGTGTTTGGATCAATAGAGTTTCATACAAAAAAGTTAATTCAACACAAACTCTATTGATCCATCAGACAAACAACTTCTGGTGAAACACACATGCTATCTAATGCTAGCTCTATTAGCGACAGGAAGTGAAATCAGAAACACAGTGACCCTCCAGACTCCTTTTGAAAAAATTCAGAATTTCCCGGCAGTGTTGCGTCCTGCTCAATACAATTATAAAATTCATAATAATTGCCGTTGTTTGTTTGTTCTGCAGACGCACGCTAACCCGGAAGAGATCTGGAGTTTTTAAGGAGTCCAGGTGAGCCTCTTGTATTAGCATTAATGCTACACTATATCTACAAATCACTTCCTGCTTCTTTAAATATAATACATCTTCAGAGGAGCAGGAAGTTTTCAAGGTTTGTCAAAAATCACCAGGTGTTTTCCCCTTAAAGACTCCTACGTAATGCTAATACAAACTGAGGCTCAGTGATGCTACGCTAACAGCTACAGTGCTAATGTTTGTGTTGGGCTAGTCACTAATCTCGTTAACAAAGAAACAGGATTGAAAAACCAAGAAGGCGTCTTACCTCGTTAAGCTGTCCAATCAGATTAATTAGTAAAGGGGAAGCATGGAGGGAGATAATGCTCGTTAAACATCTACGCTAACACCAGCAATCAGGCACAAAGACTTTAAATACAGTTAGAAGACAAAGAATTTAGACTTATTTCCACAAATTACTTAAAGAAACCCCGCTAATAAAATCATAGCATGGCATTAATATTCATGTGGCTCTAATCCTCTCCTATAGATATTAATAAGTGCTGCGCTTTAATAATGAATGACTTTGAAGGATGAGCCGCTCATTCCTCCACAAAGGTTATTAAACATTCATGTAATATAATAAAGACAAATAAGTGTAGTTAGATTACACAAACCTGGACAAACATTCAGATATTCTCAACTCAAGCGGCTCATCAGTGTGTTTCTGATCCGCCTCGTGTTTTATAACTCTAACAAGATAAAGGGTCCTCTTTATTCATGCTGATGCTACAACACCGTCTCACGGCATTTGGTGTTATAGTCACGAAATTAATCGTCGATTTCGCCATTTTTTTCCTGTCACACAAAACGATTTTAAAAGCAATGTAAATAATAACAAATTAGAAGGAAAAAAAGATGACATAAAATACAGATGTCAGTATTCTGAGGCTCTGAGACATTTCTTTTCCTCACTGACGGCAAAAAAACTCAGACATTATACAATTTAAAATAAAAGGGATAGGGTTAGGCTTAGGGTAAGATATTGAGTAAGAACATGTTTTTATGAACCACACAGCTTCTGGTCTTCCAAGACCCGACCGGACAAAAAGACGTGTTGCAGGCACGAAACATACTACCAATAGAAATACATTGCATTTAAAATCGTTCTGTGTGACACGAAAAAAAAGGTGAAAATCGTGTTGCTGAACACGAATCAATAGATTAAATTAATTTCGTGACTAATAACACGAAATGCCGTGAGACTGGGTTGAATGCTAGCTAACGTTTTACTATTAAAACTGGCAATGGCATGATAACGGAGACAAAATGTAGTGTTGCTATTGATTCAGTAGGAGTCTATCCATAATATATTGAAATAGATATGATTGTATATATATATATATATATATATATATATATATATATATTGCTGTTTATCAAGTACGTCTACATGTTAGCATTTGATGATACTGTGATTTACCAATCAAGATCTACGGAACAAGACCAATTAGCATCCAAGTTATATATGTTTTTTGTGGCAATAAACAATGCCATGTGGTTAAAGAGGCTGTTGTTTACGTCCACTTCATTCATGCTAATGCTCATGCTAATGAACGTCCACTTCATTCAAGCTAATGCTAATGAACGTCCACTTCATTCAAGCTAATGCTCATGCTAATGAACGTCCACTTCATTCAAGCTAATGCTAATGAACGTCCACTTCATTCAAGCTAATGCTAATGAAAACTAGAGGTTTACGTTAAAAAAAACTCTCTAATTTAATATAAATGTTGTTCAAAGACACAGTGATAATAAGTGTTCCTAATTGTCTAGTTGTACAGTACGGTCTATCGTAGGACCAATTGCATTTATGATATATATATATGTCTGTATATATATATATATATACAGACAGACAGAAGAACTCCTCACCGCTAACTTTCTGCAAATGGAGGGTGAAAATACTCTGAGTATGTGTGTGTGTGTGTGTGTGTATGTGTGTGTGTGTGTGTGTGTGTGTGTGTGTGTATGTGTGTGTGTGTGTGTGTGTGTGTGTGTGTATGTGTGTGTGTGTGTGTGTGTATGTATGTGTGTGTGTGTACTCAGTATATATAATGGATTAGCCCTGAGGGCAGCCCACAAGCAGACCTGAGCACACACACACACACACACACACACACACACACACACACACACACACACACACACACACACACACACACACACACACACACACACACACACACACACACACACACACGGCATTCCCTGTTTTGGCCCATTAGCTGGAGGGAAGATCTATAATGTATGTCCGTGAGTGTGTGTGTGTCTGTGTGTGTGTAGGTAAGTAACATCCATTAGTAAGTTTCTACTGATGAAAATGGGTAAACATGTGGAGCACACACACACGAACACACACACACACACACGCTGCTGCTGCTGTTATTGAACATTATCAGTGTGTGTCTTCTCCTGCTGCTTCATGCTGTAACGATCCATTGATTAACTGATAATTCACAAGTGATGCACCAGTTTCTGTTTGCACTGTTTTCTGACATTTACAAAACAAAAAATTGTGTTTTGTGTGTATTTATAATAATTATTGTTCGTTGACAAAGTTGTATCCTGCGTTCTGATTGGCTCATTTTAATATATCTGATGTCGCTGGTTGTGATTGGCTGAAACTGCCATCACACTTAATATTGTATCTAATGCAGTGATGATTTGAAAGACAAAATGAATGGGTTGCACATTTTTCAAAATTGTTGCTGTGTAAAAAAATGTTTTATATATCGAGCCCGCGTAATCTTTTATATAATTGTATTATTATTATTTGTTATAGACTTTTCGGCAGATATTTCATGATTTGTGTGTGTGTGTGTGTGTGTGTGTGTGTGTGTGTGTGTGTGTGTGTGTGGGTGTGCTCACCTCGTACTCCTCTTTAAAGCCGTACCCCTCGGCACACTTCATCTGAGTGATGTGCTGCAGGAGGTCAGCCACCCTGATGGCGGGGTGCAGCTGTCCCGTCTGATAGGGCAACGCCTCTCTCTCTGACTCACGCTGCTTATAGTGAGACTGAACCAGGCTGCTGGTCTCACTGGTCATCGTGTGGCTGTCGTCTGCAGACAAGAGAACATAACAAGGACCAAAGTCAAGTCCCAAGACAGGATCTTAGTGAGATCCTACAAGTCCCAAGTCATGTGCACATTTAAGAGCCATGCTAAGGGGCAGGTTTTGACCAATAAGACCAGAATCAGGTATAACAAGTCCCAGGTTAAGTGCTAATCTAAGACCATCAAATCGTAGGTTAAGATTTAAGTCATGCCAAAGTCAAGTCCCAAGACAAGTCCCAGGTAAAGTGCAAAACCAAGACTAACAAGTCCTTGGTTAGGATTTGAGTCAAGACCGTTTGAGGACCGACAAGTCCCAAGTCATGTACTAATTTAAGAGCTACGTTAAGGACCAAAAATCAGGTCCAAAATCAGGATGAACACGTCCCAATTCAAGATGCTACGAGTCCCAAATCATGTGGAAATGTAAGACCCATGCTAAGGGGCAGGTTTTTACCAATAAGACCAGAATCAGGTATAACAAGTCCCAAGTCAAGATGTTACAAGTGGCAAGTCATGTACACATTTAAGAGCCATGCTAAGGGCCAGGTCAGTAAGATAAGATAAGAAGAGGGAGGTCATCACACTGAGGATGTAGTCTGTGCACAGGTAACAGGAACAGAGAACATATATGCAGGGATGACGCGTGACGGATGGCATGGAAAATATTAAACAATAATAATAATGATAAATAAATACAAATCAAGATAAACTATTTTATTCTTGTGATAAACATTATATTATAAACATGATTTGGTCCATAACACAGGTAACAGTAACACTATGTGATGCAGGGATGAGAAGTGACAGGTGGCAGACTCACTCTCAGGTTGGACAACAATCAAGCCCCGAGATAAATAAAATAAACAGGTTAATAACCAATAAGATAGAAAAAGAGAGAAAATAATAACCAACACAAATGGGGAAAATATAAATAATAATAATCAAAATAGAAAACAATAATTTAATATTTTATTTTAAATTAAAAAAATAAATAATCCATTCATTAAAAAGGGAAAATATATAGAAATAATAATGATAAATAAATAATAAATAACAATAAGTAGAAATCAACAACAATTTGTAATTTAAATGATAGTATAAAGATTATTTGGTCCACAACACAGACATGTGACACGTGACGTCCAATCACATGACGGGAGGGAGGATTGGTGATTGGCTCTGCTTTCTTTTCACACTGCTGCAGAAACTAAGGAACAGAAATCAATAAAACAAAAAGGAGCTTGTGTCTGAAAGTCGACGGTCTTTAAAAGTCCAAATATATTCACTTTAATTTGATTTAAACGAGTGAGAAGCAGCAAATCTCCAGATGACAGACGGGAAATGGCTTTAACGGTTATTGAGATATATGGCGATTATTTTTCTATAATTGCCGTTCTAGGGTCAGTACTGGTCCGGACCCATACAGCGAGGTACTGGTCCGGACCCATACAGCGAGGTACTGGTCCGGACCCATACAGCGAGGTACTGGTCCGGACCCATACAGCGAGGTATTGATCTTGTTGTGGTCCAGGGTCTTGTTGCTGCAGTGTGGAAAGAGCAGAGGTCAGAGTCCGGGAACAAAACAAACCGACCGAAACACGTCCAGGACTCTGACCAACATTTTTAACATCACTTCCTCTACTCTGTCTCTCTCTGCTCTTATTGGCTAGCCTGGGGCTGACTGACCAATCAGAAGCTCTCTATCCCAAACAGCCCAACCAATCATGGAGGAGATGTGATGGAGATGGAGGTGGAGGCAGCGGATTGTGATTGGACGGCGGAGAACGACCACAACAACGAAAAAAAACAATCAGATAGAGAGGGAGGTGGGCGGGGCTGACACCTGATTGGTCGGAGGTGAAATGGTGGGAGGTGATTGGGTGTGAATGAGGCTAACTGATGACATCACAGCGGGGGTTCATGCGCAGTGGTGACCCCCCCAACATGAGCCCCCCCTTAGCCCCAAATTTAGCAACTTACCATTAATGGGCACTTTACACAGAGAGAGATAGAAGAAGAAGAGAGAGGAGACAGGGTTTAAGCAACAACTTTAGCTTTAGCCTGGGCTACACACAGCTAGCATGAATCAAACAGGAAGTAGCTCCTAGCACTGCTCTATTTGAACAGCTGGTGGCTAAGCTAACCTGGCTAACTGTACACTAGCCTGTAGGACTCGTAGCCTCGGCTAGCATCCCTTAGCTCGCCTGAGGAGAGAGGAGAAACAGGAATTTATGCGACAGTTTTGATTTCCCCCGCCTTCGACTTGGACGTTAAACTAGCCTAGCTGCACATTTAGGGTAACGGTTAGCTTCCGAGTTTAGCCTAAATTGGAAGGAGACTGCGAATACGACTGCAACCCCCAAAATGATCCGACTGCCCATTCGTCCGACTGCCCATTTTCCTGAAAAGACTACTTCTATTCTGAAGGCCCGTCCAAAAAAATAAATGTATGGAAAGACTCTTCGGGAAACCCATTGATAATGTTCCTCAATCATGTGGAAACTTTAAAAAAATAACGTTATAGAGACCTCACTAAACACTAGAGGTTATTATGAGGATGTTTACGACAAAATATTTCCAAAGAAATTCTGAAAAGTCAAAATGTTGTGAAACTCTTTTGAAAAATGTCTCATTATTTTCTGGTAGTCGCACAAATGGGCAGTCGGACAAGCGGTACATTCTTAGTATGATTGGTGTTTTTAGGAACAATGGGTCATCAATATTTGTATAACATGTCTGTATACTGATTATAAATGGAGACAGAGATGTATTGGTTTGTTAGGAAGTTAAAGAAGATTGCATATTTTAGATTTTTTAACACGAAACGAAGTGCGTAGCGAGAAAAAACGCAACAAATCCTGCTGTTTAACGGACAAAAAACGAAATATATATATAGAAAAATTGGCCTTAGCGTGCTTTGTTATGGTTTTAAGTCGGGTATTTAATTAAATATACTAAGAAGAGGATTGGTAGACTCTTTTAAAGTATTTCCAAGGTACATTATTAAGGGAAACCTAACCTACTAACTAGCTACTTAATATGCTAAATGCAGCCGGTCACAGATATACTGAATGGACCACGGAGGCTAGTTAGCTTAGCATGCTATCTTGATTTTCTATTGATGGTTTTTATTTGTTTTGTATTGTTTTGTAATGTTTTGTCCTCCCCCACAGTCCAGTGTTGTGTCCATGCAGAGGTCAGAGGTCGGAGGTCACACACAGACGTGACGTCAACACGACACGCAGGAATGTTGTGAAGCGGGGATGGAGTGAAGCCCACCGTCGTTTTTTCAAAATCAAACAACAAACAAGCCCCGAAATAAACAGGTTAATAACCAAAGAGAAAATCAAACATAAAAAAAGGACAAATTAGTTTAATAATCATAATAAAATTAATAATAAAGAAAATAACTAATTTAATATCAAATTTTAAGTAAAAAAAACTAATCATTAATAAATTAAAAAGGGGAAAATATATAATAATAATAAATCAAATAAAAAATAAATAAAAGCAAGCAGGGATGGATGGAAGCCAAATATCACTCTCTCTCTCTCATTCTCTCCATCCTCTCACCTGTCTGTCTCTCCTCACCTGTCTCTCTCTCCTCACCTGTCTCTCTCTCCTCACCTGACTGTCTGTCTGTCTACTTCCTGTCTGTCTACCTGAGCAGGCTGTTAAGAGAAAAGGAAAAAGTGTCTCACCCAGGATGGCCGTCGGCACGAAGGGATCTGCCGTCAGGACGAAGCAGCGGAGAGACAGACAGGTGAAGAGAGAGAGAGACAGGCAGACAGATAGATAGAGAGATAGAGAGACAGGTAAAGAGAGAGAGAGACAGACAGATAGATAGAGAGACAGAGAGAGAGAGAGAGACAGAGAGACAAAAAGAAAAAGAAAAAGAAAGGAAGAAAGAAAGTCAGCTTTTCTGCTGTGTGTGTGTGTGTGTGTGTGTGTGTGTGTGTGTGTGTTGTGTGTGTCTGTGTGTGTGTGGTGTGTGTGTGTGTGTGTGTGTGTGTGTGTGTGTGTGTGTGTGTGTGTGTGTGTGGTGTGTGTGTGTGTGTGTGTGTGTGTGTGTGTGTGTGTGTGTGTGTGTGTGTGTGTCTGTGTGTGTGTGTGTGTGTGTGTGTGTGTGTGTGTGTGTGTGTGTGTGTGTGTGTGTGTGTGTCTGTGTGTGTGTGTGTGTGTGTGTGTGTGTGTGTGTGTGTGTGTGTGGTGTGCGTGCGTGCGTGCGTGCGTGTGTGTGTGTGTGTGTGTGTGTGTTACCTGGGTAGTATGAGTTGGGCACGGTGGTGCTGATGGTGTTTGTCTTCAGGGTGAAGGAGGACGGAGAGGACACAGCTGGACAAAGAGCAGAAGAATATTTAATATTTCCTGAAAAATGTGTAAAATGTTCTGAAAAAACATTTTTTAAATGTATTTATTTTCTCTGACACATGATGCATTCAAGGACTCTCTGAAAGTCAGAAATCCCAGTTGTGACAAATGGAATTCATGCTTTTGATTCCTGTGAGCAGAGAGATGGAATAAAGAGCATATTGAAGCAGGATAAATCAGAGCGTCTTAAAGGGGGGGGTCAGCCTGAGGGAAGGTCGACTCCCCCTCCTCCTCTTCCTCACCCATCATCCCCCCCCCTCCCTCCCCCGGTGACAGCATCCGTCACTCCATGATAAAACATTCGGTCATATCACCGGCAGTCACTGTGTGTGAGATTATTCTCTGAGAGGCTCTAATGAAATATTAAAGATGGCTAAAGGTCTGAGTGACGGACAGCAGGAGGAAGAGGAGGAGGAAGAGGAGGACTATTTCTCTAAATATATCCCAAAAATTCAGACTTCTCTCTGTGAATATTAGCATTGTCTTTTTCTAGATTCAGATTTTCAATTTATGGCAAAATCTTGCAACTATTTCTCAGGATTTTCTGACATTTTTTGTTTTCGAATGTCGAATTCAACCTGAAAATAAGCAGAATAGGTCCCATTTAATATTCTTTATGTTAAGTTAGTTCCCGCTTTAATTGTCTTATTTATTTTACTTTATTATCGCTGTATCTCACATTTGTTATTTCTCCTATTTTGTCCTTTTATCAACTTTGTTTTTCTGTCTTTTATTTGAAGCTTTCCTGTCTCTACTCTCTATCTCTCGATCTCACCCTATGTGTTATCTCTGTAAATGAAACACCCTGACCTGTGTGTGTGTGTGTGTGTGTGTGTGTGTGTGTGTGTGTGTGTGTGTGTGTGTGTGTGTGTGTGTGTGTGTGTGTGTGTGTGTGTGTGTACTCACTGCGTCCGTTCAGAGTGTGTGTGTGTGTGTCCACCATGGTCGTGCATTGGGAGCTGTTGACCATCAGGGTCATTTCCTGGCGGGAGCTCAGAGTTTCCTTCCTCTTCTTCGCCAGCTTTCTGCAGAGACACAAACAAAACAGACCGTTTTTTTTAATAACCTAATAGTCGTTAAGATTAAATGTTTCCAGGGTTAATCTGTGGACCCTGAACGCATCACCAAAAGGAGACGTTCAATTAAACTGCATTACAAAAAGAAATAGTGAAAATGTAAGTTGGTATGCAATGTTTACAACCTCCTGCTTATTGGTTTTAAGGTGGTATTTCATAAGTGCAAACAATGTATGTGTCTGTTAAGGTGGTATGGGTGGGTTATTGTTACCTGTTTAATCTGTTTAAGGTGGAATTGGTATCTGTTAAGGTGGTATGGGTGGGTTATTGTTACCTGTTTAATCTGTTTAAGGTGGAATTGGTATCTGTTAAGGTGGTATGGGTGGGTTATTGTTACCTGTTTAATCTGTTTAAGGTGGAATTGGTATCTGTTAAGGTGGTATGGGTGGGTTATTGTTACATGTTTAATCTGTTTAAGGTGGAATTGGTATATGTTAAGGTGGTATGGGTGGGTTATTGTTACCTGTTTAATCTGTTTAAGGTGGAATTAGTGACTGTTAAGGTGGTATGGTATAAATAAGTCTTCTTAGTATTAAACGTGTCTCTTAAGGTAGTATGATCGCATTATAATACATACTGTATTTCTCGGTTAAGGTGGTAGGTATTGTTACTTAAACTCTTTAAGGTGAAATCTTTCTAAAGGTGGTGTGAGCAGATTTAATATGTATTTTGTAAGTAAACATGGAAAGATTACAATTTTAGAGGGTTCATTTTTTACTGTAAATCTAATATAATAGGGCTGTTAATCATTTTAAGGTGGTATTTCTAGTTTGTCAGGTATTTCCTCGCAGTTAAGGTGGAATAAGAAGACTATGATATGTTTTTGTATTACTTAAGTTGGTATAATTGGCATTTATTGTACCGGTTTAATCTGTTTAAGGTGGAATTGGTCTCTGTTAAGGTGGTATGAGGAGATATAACAACTATTACTCAGTTAAGGTGGAACGTTCATGATTTAAGAGGGTTTATTTATTTCTCTAAATCACACACACAAAGCTATTCATTATTTTAAGGTGGTATTAGCACGTTATATATATTTGTGTGGCACTTAAGGTGGAATAACTGGAGTTATAAAGACTGTATGTCTCAATTACGATGGTTTGTTGTTGACGGTTAATATGATATTGTCTGTCATTTCTGAGTTAAAGGTGTGTGAGTGAGGCTTTTAAGGTGGCGTCGCTCATTAAAAAAGATTAAGGTGTTCGAGGGGGGGGTTTAATTATATTACACATTAAGGTGTTAAGGTGGTATGACTGCTGGAGTTCCTTTAATGAGCTGAAACTAAACTGCAGACTGTGAGCGTTTTACTTTAATTACAGTCGTAAATTTCAAAATTAGTGCTGCTTATTAAATATAAAAGCCATAAAACATCTCTCTCTCACACTCACACACACACACACACACACACACACACACACACACACACACACACACACACACACACACACACACACACACACACAGTATCTCCTAATGAAAACAAGACATTCAAACACTTGTGCCGTAGGAAATTAATCCAAAATATAATCAGATTTATTGATAATGAATATAATTGTTAGTTTCAGACGAAGAACAATTTATCTCGTCTTTTTTTACACACTCTTGAGACGGATTCAATAATGTCTTTTGATACGTCTATGGCTTTCTGTCTATATATATATTTATTTATGTTTCTTACTTCCTGTCTTTTGTCCGTTTATTTCTTGTATAACCGCTGCAGAGGAAGAAAGCACATCTTTAAAACACAAACAACGTCTTTTCATCCTCTCATCTGTCCATTTACCTTCATCTCACACACACACACACACACACACACACACACACACACACACACACACACACACACACACACACACACACACACACACACACACACACACGCACGCACGCGCGCGCACGCACGCACGCACGCACGCACGCACGCACGCACGCACGCACGCACGCACGCACGCACGCACGCACGCACGCACGCAGGCACGGACACACACAGAGAAAAACACTCTGTCCGTTTTTAAAAGCCCGATTTATGTTCTCTCTTTCTATTCCGAGTGTGTGAATAAAAAAAACATCCATTTGTCCGATTGCTCACAAATACACACACACACACAAACACGTACACACACACGTACACACACACATACACTCGCACAGTGCAAAGTTTAACCCTGACCTGAAAATGGAAAATGAAAAAAACACTGATATATAAATAAATATTAAAAAGGCTTTCAAGCTGAAAAGTAAGACATCAGTGTGTGTGTGTGTGTGTGTGTGTGTGTGTGTGTGTGTGTGTGTGTGTGTGTGTGTGTGTGTGTGCCCGAGGCGAGGCATGCCCTCCTCCCCCTCATGTCTCTCTTTTCTTCTTCTGTGGTTCAGCAGACCTGCAGCGTTTCTGATTCAGACCTGACACAAACACATTCAGCTTTCAGACGTTTCTCCATCTGGAAATAATAATGAAACCCGCAGAGAGGAGACGACGGACAGGAGACGCTGAACATGAACAACGCAAAACAACTAAACCCCGAAACCTCTGAAAACTAGACGGAAAACAACTAAGTCAAGGTTTAAAAAATGTGTAAAAAGATTAAGAATAAGAAGATAAACAACAATAAAAAACAGTAAAAAGGCCCAAAATTACAAAATGTCCACAAAGACACGCAATGAGCAAAACAGCAAGAAGTCCAAAAAATAGACGAAAACAACAACATTAACCGCATTCACACCGTACTTCCCAGCTCTTAGTCCCCAGCACTTAGTTCCCAGCACTTAGTTCCCAGCACTTAGTTCCCAGCTCTTAGTCCCCAGCACTTAGTTCCCAGCTCTTAGTTCCCAGCTCTTAGTTCCCAGCACTTAGTTCCCAGCTCTTAGTTCCCCCATGGAACTAAGAGCCGATCGCGTTCACACCGGAATAAGTCCCTGGGGGAAGATTACGCAAATGAAGCCGCTGACGTCACTTCTTCTTCTTCTGCTTTGGGTTTACTGGCAGGCTGCAAACCACTTCACGGCGTATACTGCCACCCGGAGTCCCCGGCCGGAAGTCCCCGGAGTTGGGGAAGGCTTCAGTAGAAGCTGCTGGGACTCCCAGCAGCTTCTACTGAAGCCTTCAGAGTAAATCGCCAGAACGCCGACACCTCCTCATCTCCACCGCTCCCATGTTTTCTTTTGTGTTGCCATAAGTTATTCTCTCTGCGTTTGTGCGCTGGGCTAATGCTAATGCTAATAATGCTAATGCCACAAATACAATGGCGGCTTCACAAAACTTTTCAGAGTTGTACGGGGCGTGGTTTGCAATTCGCCCAGCCAATCAGAACTGGGGCACTTTTTCCCCCAGGATAGTCCCACCTCTCTAGCAGGGACTAAAAATGGGGGTAAAGGTTCTCTGAACTAAGTTCTCTTTTTGGTGTGAACGCAAAATTCCAGGCACTAACGGAACTAAACGGGAAAAGCACTCCGGTGTGAACGCGCCTAAATATATGGTGAAAAAAAATAAGAAAAAAGGTGCAAAACTAGAAAGAGATGCAAAAATGGTCTACAAGAAATCATCGAACAAGAAATCATCGACAGTAAGATGCAAAAAACTACAAAAACAACGAAAAACTAAAACGCGCAAAACCGAGAGACGAGACTGCAACCACCCAAAACAAAAGATAAGCTAAACTACAAAAAGCTCCAAAACGAGATGGACAATAACCAAGACAACAAAAATGAACTGAACGTCCACAAAGAACAACAATACAAGAAAACAACGCAAAACAACAAAAGGCTAAAAGAGAGCCCAAAACGTCCACAAAGAGACGCTAAACAGGAACAACGCAAAACAACAAAACCGCAACTAACTCATGGTTTAAAAACATTTGTAAAAACAGGCGCAAAATTACAAAATGGTGCAAATTGAAAGAAACTCGATAAAATACAACAACGAAAGAAAACAAAGGGCGCGAAACAGCCAATAAAAAACACGTAGAATAAAACGAGCAAATGGTCACACGAGATACCCAAAACTACCAAGAGGTGCAAAACACAAAGACATAATAGAAGTCCAAAAACGAGACAAATATACGGTGAAAAAAATAAGAAAAAAGTGCGAAACTAGAAAGAGATGCAAAATGGTCTCCAAAGAGTCATCGAACAAGAAATCACACAAAAACTACAAAAATCACGTAAAACAAAATCGCGTAAAACCGAGAGACAAAACAGCAACACCCAAACTAAAAATGTGCTAAACTACAAAAAACCCAATAAAAATGTAAAACAAAACAAAAATAGTTCAACGTCCACAAAGGAACACAACACCAGAAAACAACGCAGAACAACAAACCCGCAAAACCTCCGAAAACAACGAAGTCATGGTAAAAACTAAAAAGGTGCCAAACGTCCACAGAGAGATTTGAAAAAGCACAAAATTACAAAAAGGTGAAAAATGGCCACAAAGACACGCAAAACAGCAAGAAGTCCAAAAACGAGACTGAAAAAACAACAAATATATGTTGACATTTTTTTTTTAATGGTGCAAACCTAGAAAGAGACGCAAACATGGTCGACAAAGAATCACCGAACAAGGAATCATCCAGAAAAAAAAAAAGACTTTAACGTCCACAAAGGAACACAACACCAGAAAACAACGCAGAACAACAAAAAGGCGCTAACCTAAAAATGTTTTGCCAAAACCTCCGTACAGACGCAAAGCAGCATGAAGCCTCCACGTTGTTTAACCTGTTAAGCCCCAAAGCCCCCGTCGGCGGGTCTTTTAAAAAAAAAATTATTTATTTTTTATTAATTTTTTTTCTTTTCATTTTTTTTCTTTGGATGGAATGAATACCTATGGTGATAATTCAATGTAATACATCATTTTTATAGTCTGGTACCTGAAAAAGATCGAATGGCACTGATGGAACCAGATGTACCCAAATGTGCCGAAAGCTTATTCCGCCTGGAACTTCTTTTTGCTAAATCTCTCTAAAAAGGTCAAATTTAACTTGTTTTGCCTCAATCTTGATACAGGGTACTTATTATATGTTATAGTTTGGATTCCTAAAGCTTGTAGTCTACCATCCCATCATTCAAGGGTGGTTTTCACTATAAGTAATGTTTTTTCTTTAGGCGGAGGTAAGAATTTACCTTTTTTTACTACGTTCCATCTGAATTGATTCTGACTGAGAAAAATCTATATTGATTCTGACACTTCTACATCCAACTCACAGATGTAACCTTGCTTTGAGAAAAGAAATTATTCATATAACCGTTTTAGAAGTGAAGTTGTAGTCATTTGTTTTGGGCATGTCATTTTCGAGCCTGAAACCTGAAAAACAGGCTTGGTGCTTAACAGGTTAACAGCCTGCCAACGGTGTAAGTTGAACTCTAACCCTCTCTGGAAACATGTTAAATAAAACCTCTACAGTTAGTAACTTCAGCGGCCGTCACCCCGACAAACTAACAAACACGACTCCCTCAGAAAGCGCTTTAATGGAGCTCCGCAGGGAGAGGTCAGCAGAGTCACGAGTCTCTAAACAAAATCAAAATATCAAAGTTTCCTTGGAGCCTTTCATCGTCTCTAACTGTGTTTGTTTGTGTCTCTGTTCGGCAGAGCTGACACCTCTGACTCCAATCAGCTGTTCTGACCTCTGACACACACCAGACACACACACACACACACACGCACACACACACACACACACACACACACCATTAGTGAATGAAGGGCAGCAGGTAACCTCCGTCAGTAAATACTGCAGCAAAACATCTATTATATGTTTTCATATCCCAGTTCAAAGGAGTGTGTGTGTGTGTGTGTGTGTGTGTGTGTGTGTGTGTGTGTGTGTGTGTGTGTGTGTGTCATGACATCATAAGCGAGGTGTCGGGGTTGGATTGATTTAGCAACACTTAACATGAACACTCTCTCACACACACACACACACATACACACACACACACAAACACACACACACACATACACACACACACACACACACACAAACACACACACACACATACACACACACACACACACACACACACACACACACACACACACACACACACAGATGCATGTCAAGGCTAATCTATGCTAATCTAATGAGCGACAGGACAATGCTGTTAGCGATAATGGATGTCAGTGTGTGTGTGTGTGTGTGTGTGTGTGTGTGCGCGTGTGTGTGTGTGTGTGTGTGTGTGTGTGTGTGTGTCTCTCCTTGTAACGATCATTTGATCAGACAGGTTTATTACAGCCAGCTAATTCTATTAACCCCGCTCCACTGCTCACACACTCATACACACACACACACACACACACACACACACACACACACACACACACACACACACACACACACACACACACACACACTGTATATCAGGATCATAAACCTGACCGTGTCTCCATATTATTTTGGCCGTGGGAATATAATCACCGCGTTTCTTTTAAAATATGTTTTGATATGAAAAGGATTTTTTCTGAATTATTTCCTTGTAATTTTAATCATTTCAGTTTCTTTCTCATATTTGTATGACTTATTACCACACAGTATTTAAGTGTATCTTTATCGAATATTGGCGATTTTAATTTTCTAAATTCACCACTTTAGTCTTTGTCTGTATTATCTTTTGAGCTAGGGTTATTTGCATTTTAAGCTTTTTAAAGACTTTCTACATCTTAATGCTCTTTTGTTAGCTGTGGAGCACTTTGAATTGTCTTGTGTTGAAAGGTGCTCATAGAAACTAATTTCTATATATATATATTATATATTTTCTTAAGACCCTAACCCTAAAAAAGCAAAGAGACTTTATAAGGTACACATATAAAATAAGTACAAACTAAAGTGTTATGTATTTATGTTTTCTCATATATGATCGCTTAAGGACAATACACACTGCACCAGTTTAATGTGTTGATTTAAAGCACACACACACACACACACACACACACACACACACACACACACACACACACACACACACACACACACACACACACACACACACACACACACACACACACACACACACACACACACACACACACACACACACACACACACACACGTTGACCTGAGGAGGAGGGGATGTGCTTCCTGTCTCCTGAGGAGGCGTCGGATGCAGATACCTGCAGGTTTCTCTGCTCCGTCTCTACTTATCGATCAAAGACTGAGTTTCTCTATTTTTACTTTCAGAGTTTCAACAGGAAGCAGAAAACTCGGTGCTGAACCAATAAGAAAGAGGCACCTGGAGGCGTGTTGGAGTCGGGTCAGGGGAGCTAAAACTCTTCCTCCAGAAACAGAGGAGCCGCCTGAAGCTAAACACGCTGCAGTGAAGTCAGACAGACGAGTGACGAGTTCATGAAAACTAAAACTGATCACAGAGAAAAATATCTGAAACATCCAGCGACATTTCAGGTAACATCACACACACCCAGGCATCAAATCAATGTGTGGTGAGGGTTAGTGGAGGGATGCAGGGTCAGGGGTCAGGGATCAGGGGTTTGCAAATAATGCTGTCAGGGAGAAGACGTTTAGGAAATTACCGGTTAAGAGTCAGGGATTAACAGGGAAGGGATCAAAGGTTAAAGGGGAAGGGATCAGAAGTTTAAGGGTCAGTTTTAAGGGTCAGGGATCAGAGGTTAAAGGGGAAGGGATCAGAGGTTTAAGGTTCAGGTATTAAGGGTTTTACAGGCAGGGATGATGGGTTAAAGGGGAAGGGATCAGATGTTAAAGGGGAAGGGATCAGATGTTAAAGGGGAAGGGATCAGAGGTTAAAGGGGAAGGGATCAGATGTTAAAGGGGAAGGGATCAGAGGGTTTTAGGTTTAAGGGTCAGAGATCAGAGTTTTAAGATGTAAGGGTCAGGGATCAAAGGTAAAGGGTAAGGGGGGCAGGACACACTGGCTGATGTTAGGTGCATGTTAAGGGATCATAGGTTAAGGGGTTAAGGGTCAGTGATTAAGGGATCAGAGGTTAAGGGTCAGTGGTTAAGGGATGAGAGGTTAAGGGATCAGTGGTTAAGGGATAATAGGTTAACGGTCAGAGGTTAAGGGTCAGGTGTTATGAGGTCAAGGGTCAGGTGTTAGGTGAAGGTTAACGGTGAGAGGTTAAGGGGTTAAGGGATCACAGGTTAAGGGTCAGGTGTTAGGATGTCAGGTGCAGGTTAAGGGTCAGAGGTTAAGGGATCAGAGGTTAATGGTCAGGTGTTAGGATGTTAGGTGCAGGTTAACGGTCAGGGGTCAGGTGTTAAGGGGTTAAGGGTCAGAGGTTAAGGGTCAGGTGTTAGATGTTAGGTGCAGGTGCAGGTTAGGTTACTCACAGGTAGTAAGTGTAGGAGTGATAATTTCTCCGTCTGAGTGGTGGGGAGCAGAGGGAGGGATGGAATGACGGGAAAGAAAAAACAGAAAAACAGAAAAAGGAAAACCACAGATTAATGTCTCGGAGAGTAAAAACTGAACAGATGAGATAAAATTATCATGCGTGGAGGTGGAGGAGAGGAGACACGTGATTGGCTGGTGCAATGTGTCAATCAAAGTGTGGAGGGGGGGCGGGCACAACAGTTCTCAATACACTGGATGCTGTCAAACTTTAAGATCTTTAAGATACTTACCCCTACCTACCTACTTTACCTTCATGCTTAACTACCTTCTTCAATATCTACCTAAATGATTCCCCTACATACCTGACTCCCTAACTTCACATCACTTAACCTGACCCTCAAACCTTTGGTCCCTGACCCTTAGTTTTCAACATTAAACCTCTGAATCTTGCCCTTTAGATCCTCTGATCCCTGACTCTTTGACCTCTGATTCCTTACCCTTAAATCCTTACCCTTAAACCTGAACCCTAAAACTCTGGTCCCGTAACCTTACATTTGAATTTTTAACCTCTCATCCCTGCCCTTTGAAATCCTTAAAAATCTACCTACCCAACTAATGACCTTACTACCTACCTAACTTACTACCTACCCAACTTACTACCTACCCAACTTACTACCTACCCAACTTACAACCTACCCAACTTACAACCTACCCAACTAATGACCTTACTACCTACCTAACTTACTACCTACCCAACTTACTACCTACCCAACTTACTACCTTACTACCTACCCAACTTACTACCTACCCAACTTACTACCTTACTACCTACCCAACTTACAACCTACCCAACTTACAACCTACCCAACTTACTACCTACCCAACTTACAACCTACCCAACTTACAACCTACTCAACTTACTACCTACCCAACTTACAACCTACCCAACTTACTACCTACCCAACTTACTACCTACCCAACTTACAACCTACCCAACTTACAACCTACTCAACTTACTACCTACCCAACTTACAACCTACCCAACTTACTACCTACCCAACTTACTACCTACCCAACTTACAACCTACCCAACTTACTACCTACCCAACTTACTACCTACCCAACTTACAACCTACCCAACTTACTACCTTACTACCTACCCAACTTACTACCTACCCAACTTACAACCTACCCAACTTACAACCTACCCAACTTACTACCTACCCAACTTACTACCTTACTACCCTACCCAACTTACTACCTACCTAACTTACTACCTACCCAACTTACTACCTACCCAACTTACTACCTACCCAACTTACTACCTACCCAACTTACTACCTTACTACCTACCCAACTTACTACCTACCCAACTTACTACCTACCCAACTTACAACCTACCCAACTTACTACCTTACTACCTACCCAACTTACTACCTACCTAACTTACTACCTACCCAACTTACTACCTACCCAACTTACTACCTACCCAACTTACTACCTACCCAACTTACAACCTACCCAACTTACAACCTACCCAACTTACTACCTACCCAACTTATACTACCTACCCAACTTACAACCTACCTACCCAACTTACTACCTACCCAACTTACTACCTTACTACCTACCCAACTTACTACCTACCCAACTTACAACCTACCCAACTTACTACCTACCCAACTTACTACCTTACTACCTACCCAACTTACTACCTACCCAACTTACTACCTACCCAACTTACTACCTTACTACCTACCCAACTTACTACCTACCCAACTTACTACCTTACTACCTACCCAACTTACTACCTACCCAACTTACTACCTTACTACCTACCCAACTTACTACCTACCCAACTTACTACCTTACTACCTACCCAACTTACTACCTACCCAACTTACTACCTTACTACCTACCCAACTTACTACCTACCCAACTTACTACCTTACTACCTACCCAACTTACTACCTACCCAACTTACTACCTTACTACCTACCCACTTACCTACTACCCAACTTACTACCTTACTACCTACCCAACTTACTACCTACCCAACTTACTACCTTACTACCTACCCAACTTACTACCTACCCAACTTACTACCTACCCAACTTACTACCTACCCAACTTACTACCTACCTACATACCAACGGACCAACCTTCTTCCCCTATCTAGCAATCTACCTACCTGTTCCCTTCGAGTCTAAAATAGACTTTCAAGATTAGATGCAATATACCTGTTCTGCTGTGCTAATAACAACTGTTGGGTTTCTTCTACATTGTGCTGTTTCCACGGAGGTGCAGGAGTTGTATTTGTAAGTATAAACCCAAAACCCCAGAGAGGAACATGTGGTTAATCCCCGTAAGGACTCTCTGACCCTCAGCACTACCTTGTCGCAGCAGCACTTAGTATCCCTGCGCTGCGTATCCCTCCACCAGCTGTTTGTAACACGCTGTCCTACAAAGAGACTCGATCTGACAGTGAGGAGAAAGTGGTTAGAGCGTCTGATCATCGCCCTGCAGCCAATCAGAGGGGTAACGTGCAGCTTCCTGTTTCACTCCCGCTGTAATGAGTCTGACCTCCGTCTGCTCACAGAGTGGAAATCAAACGCACCCGTCAACATTAAAACCCTCATTAGAGACCGAACAACCGCCGCTCTCGTTTTCTCTCTCTAGAATCTGTTAGAGAGATCAGAGCGCCATCACCCCAACTCACACACATTAAAGTGTGTGTGTGTGTGTGTGTGTGTGTGTGTGTGTGTGTGTGTGTGTGTGTGTGTGTGTGTGTGTGTGTGTGTGTGTGTGTGTGTGTGTGTGTGTGTGTGTGTGCATCTCTGTAGCCTGAAGCCATTCAGCTCGAGGCGACTCTGGAATAAAAAAACAAAGAATAAAACGCTCTTTCATCTAAATTTCTCTCTTATCGTCGACGTTCTCCAAACACAGAAGCTTTACTCTGTGTTTAAGAGTGTGTGTGTGTGTGTGTGTGTGTGTGTGTGTGTGTGTGTGTGTGTGTGTGTCCCAGCGGGGTTGTGTGTTTGATGTTCGAGAATAAAGTCGGTCCACATATAGTTTAATGGTGATTACCGCTGCAATCTGCTCCATTATTCATCCTCTCTGAAACTGTGTGTGTGTGTGTGTGTGTGTGTGTGTGTGTGTGTGTGTGTGTGTGTGTGTGTGTGTGTGTGTGTGTGTGTGTGTCTTTGATGTAACTTCACTTATCTACATGTAACATAAAATAATACCAGTATTACAGTACTAAACTAAACTGTAAAACCTATCAAACTAAGTTTTAATAGACACAATTCAATATATTTGGTTTGATAACTATTAACAACCATTGACTTACATTAATATCACAATTATTAAACCAATAATTATCATAAACTACCATTGAAAACCTCTAACACAATAACCCACTGGTATTAACATAAAATACTTTGAAGCCACCATTCAGTGATATTATCAATACAATTTTGAGTACAAAATGAACATTGACTACCATTGAAAACAACATTTACAATTATGTTCTAGTATTTACTAACATAAACTACTCTGAACTAGCATCCATTAACTTACATGTACTTGTTTCCTGGTTTGATCCAATAATAACCATTGACTTTTATTGAAGTGACAAGCAATATTATAAATTACTTTGAATTAGCCACCATTTACAGACATTAATTAAACACTAATATTAGTCAATTGGATATTTAAAGAAACGTTTAAGGTTTTAAATGCTGTATTTGGTAGGAAAATGTATGTTTGTGCGTGTGTGTGTGTGTGTGTGTGTGTGTGTGTGTGTGTGTGTGTGTGTGTGTGTGTGTGTGTGTGTGTGTGTGTGTGTGTGTGCGCATACCGTTTGTTCATTAGCAGGATGACTCCGAGGAAGATGATGATGAAGAGCAGGATGCCAGCGATGGCTCCAGCGATCTTCACCGTGTGGTCGCTCTGTTTCTCCTGCTCCGGCTCCGGCTTACGGGTCGCTGCTCCTGGAAATCATCAAAACACAAAATGAATATGGACCGACAAAATATTAGCTTCCAGTAAAATGTAAATGGCCCCTCTAATAAAGGTATTCTCATTCTGAAATGTATATACTGCTCTAAAGATGTAAATATGAAACCATTAACTTTCATTAACTCACAGCTTTTATTTTGGTCGCTGCACCTTAAACTAACAACTTTAAGAAACATATATTTATATTTCCATTAACTTCCATTAACCACCATTCAAATATTATTTCAAATGCACATAATTGCCATTAACCAAGATTAAAGGTACATTTTTATTTTATATGTCCATTAACTTCCATTAACCACCATTAACTTCCATTAACCACTGTTAACTATGAGTAAAATATTACTTTCTATGTCCATTAACTTCCATCAACCATCGTTACCTTCCATTAACCCCCGTTAACTTCATTAACCACTGTTAACTATGAGTAAAATATTACTTTCTGTGTCCATTAACTTCCATTAACCATCGTTACCTTCCATTAACCCCCGTTAACTTCCATTAACCACTGTTAACTATGAGTAAAATATTACTTTCTGTGTCCATTAACTTCCATTAACCATCGTTACCTTCCATTAACCCCCGTTAACTTCCATTAACCACTGTTAACTATGAGTAAAATATTATTTGATATGTCCGTTAACTTCCATTAACCATCGTTACCTTCCATTAACCCCCGTTAACTTCCATTAACCACTGTTAACTATGAGTAAAATATTACTTTCTATGTCCATTAACTTCCATCAACCATCGTTACCTTCCATTAACCCCCCTTAACTTCCATTAACCACTGTTAACTATGAGTAAAATATTACTTTCTGTGTCCATTAACTTCCATTAACCATCGTTACCTTCCATTAACCCCCGTTAACTTCCATTAACCACTGTTAACTATGAGTAAAATATTATTTGATATGTCCGTTAACTTCCATTAACCATCGTTACCTTCCATTAACCCCCGTTAACTTCCATTAACCACTGTTAACTATGAGTAAAATATTACTTTCTATGTCCATTAACTTCCATCAACCATCGTTACCTTCCATTAACCCCCCTTAACTTCCATTAACCACTGTTAACTATGAGTAAAATATTACTTTCTGTGTCCATTAACTTCCATTAACCATTGTTACCTTCCATTAACCCCCGTTAACTTCCATTAACCACTGTTAACTATGAGTAAAATATTATTTGATATGTCCGTTAACTTCCATTAACCACCATTAACTTCATTAACCACTGTTAACTATGAGTAAAATATTACTTTCTATGTCCATTAACTTCCATCAACCATCGTTACCTTCCATTAACCCCCGTTAACTTCCATTAACCACTGTTAACTATGAGTAAAATATTACTTTCTATGTCCATTAACTTCCATCAACCATCGTTACCTTCCATTAACCCCCCTTAACTTCCATTAACCACTGTTAACTATGAGTAAAATATTACTTTCTGTGTCC